TCAATCAGACCATATCTACACAATCCCACCCCGATGAAACTACTGTTTTCACATAAACACACACACACACTTTCATAACCCACAAACTGCTCTTTACAAATGACCTCCCTCTGGACAAACCCACCAGAACATTCCAGGAACTCAGCGGGTCTCTCCTTCACTTTATCTCCCACTGCTCTATTTCCCAGCTTCCCATTCCTTGACCTCCTCCTCCTCCTCCTCCACCTCTCTCCATTTTCCTCCTCCAGCTGCCTTTCCCAATTTCCTCCCCCCACACACCCACCTAAACTCCCTTCTCATTTTCAAGACGTTCTCTGACATCCCATTTCACTTTCTCCGTCTATTTTCTTTCACTTTCATTCGGAAGTTCAAGGTCGTTCATCTGATGCTTTTGTTCTCAGAAATCTCAGCTCCCCCTGCTCTCCTGGCCCTCCTTCCTTTGTTTTTGTTGCCTAATAGCTAACGTTTGCTTTGTAACAAGGTTCCTCCTTTTCCCCCGAGATGAGCGCCTTGGCAAACAGCGGGAGGTATTAAATTCTGAGGCACAGGAAGCATGGGGTTATCAGGGAGTGTCTCGCTTCCCCTCTCAGATTGAAGGACTGGCTGGCTGCGGGAAAACAAAAGGTCCAGCATCTTGTGCAGGAAGCAGAGACACGGACCAGAAATGAGCCGCTGGTTTGGTGGTTTGCACCATTACAGATTAATTGAAGTGTGATTAGGCTTGCTAAAGCTTGTGAACCCACTGGGATTTAGCTTTTTCAAAGACTAAAGTGTATAAACCTGCTTTAGATTCAGCTTCTATTAGCTCTGTGTAGCTATAGAGCTATAGAGCAACTTTTTAGTTGACAAAAATCAATGGTAGGGCTGTCCCTTAATCAGAAATCAAGCTCAAATTAATTTAGTTAGTTTACTGAAAGTGCAACAACTGTCCGTTGTGATGCCACCTGTTCGATTTTGAACAGCTCATTTATTATTTAATCTTTTCCCACGTTTAAATGAAAGTTCAACCTCGGGATAAGTTGGTAAAACCCTCTGCCATGCCTCCCATGTATCCATTTGTTTATCCATTTTATAACCAGCCCTATGCTTACACTTCATTTTCTCGTTGTTTGCTTCCCTGCGATCTATAATCTCCAAGTATACTTCTGCCATCTGTTAGGGAGTGATGTCACCAGCTGTGGCAGGAACAGTTTGTTTCGGTGGAAATGCTCTGCAATTATCAACGGCTGGTGGCTTCAGGTCAGCAGTTGCACACAGCCCTGTGGTGTGTTCAGGGAACTTTCAACCAGTCCAAGCACTGAAACAAAGAAAGTCAGTTAGTTTACGAGCTTCTCTAAAGATAACTTTCTACAAGACTGACAGTATCTTATCCTCTGATGTGTCTCCAGTTGGCCCACCGTTAGACACCCGCCCCCTCCATCAAAGTTTATATCAGACTGTTACTTTAAAGCAGTTGTGTGTGTGTCTTTATCACAACCATGTTTACAGCCTGGACCAGGATTAAAGGCCAAAGTGGGAGGAAGTGTGTGTGTGTGTGTGTGTGTGTGTGTGTGTGTGTGTGTGTGTGTGTGTGTGTGTGTGTGTGTGTGTGTGTGTGTGTGTGTGTGTGTGTGTGTGTGTGTGTGTGTGTGTGTGTGTGTGTGTGTGTGTGTGTGTGTGTGTGTGTGTGTGTGTGTGTGTGTGTGTGTGTGTGTGTGTGTTGTGGAGTGGGTCAGGTAGGTTGTGTTTCCAAGGTCCACACTAAATAGGAGGAAGTAATAAAGGGAAAGACTGGAGGTAAACAAATACCGGGTTTCTGGGGTATTTTTAATATTACTCTGGAAGGAAAATGGGTCGACTTTGACTGTGACGCACTTTTAACTAACATATGTCGCTAGTTTAAACGTGATCAGCCTACCTTGGTTTCAGTACAAATACTAAAACCTTTTTAGATTTGTTGCCTTTGAAAACAGCAGCTTCATAAAAGAAAAAAAAGAACAATGGGTTAAATTAACTCTGAAGAAGGGAGTCCTCTTCTGTCATGCAACAAGTTGAACTGTGTGCTGAAAATCTTTTTATCAGGCTACAAAATGATATTTTCATTTGACCATGAAAAACTATTTTAAAATGTGAATAAACAAGAATCAGAGTAAGCGGCTCATGCTGACTTTTGTATGGGACAGCTTGAAATATACGATCTTCAGTTGTGAGTGTTAATATGGATGGATGGATTTTCGTCTAACCCATGTCCTGCAGCTTTTTTTGTAGAGGTTTAACGGTCAAACACTCCTATGACGGCAATTCATACTGATCAAAGAATAAGGCCGATTTATTGTATAGTTTTCATACGTCAGCAAAATCCCTTGAAAACATTCTGACTTGCTCTCTACGAATTAAGACGTACATCTTTAAAAACACCTCACAAATATATAGATATATTTTATATGCTCAAGATTGACCTAAAACAACTGGTCACTGTAGTGTTTATGAAACGTCAGTATGTAACCAAAATGGGAGGAAATAGTGCACTTGTTATGGACTATTTTCAGTTGCGGATTAATCCACATTTGGGGCTCTAACGGGTATTTGAGATGTGTGTGGGATTGGGCCAACATAAACTACAGTGTTTGTGTGTGTGTGTGTGTGTGTGTGTGTGTGTGTGTGTGTGTGTGTGTGTGTGTGTGTGTGTGTGTGTGTGTGTGTGTGTGTGTGTGTGTGTGTGTGTGTGTGTGTGTGTGTGTGTGTGTGTGTGTGTGTGTGTGTTCATGGTAATGAAGAAACAAGTGCAACAGTGTGGCTTATTGATGAATTTCAATAGTTGTGGACAACAATGGAGCTCTATGGCACAGGAGAATGAGATACTGTATATCAGACTTTAATACGCACCATACTTTTTTGTACATGCATCAATTGTAGGTTTTAGTTTTCTTTCAAGTGTTTTTTGTGAAAGATAAGAAGAATATAAAAAATCATGATGTATAAATAGTTGAATTCCTGGGACAGGTTCTGGAATTGTTGCGAAACTGTCCTTTAGAAGCTTTTGAACACAGGGGGTCAAATGCAGGTTAAAACTTCAGTTCTTCTGCTGCTTCTAGCTCTGAACCCTCTTCACACTAAATTACGGACACATTTCCATCTGAGAATAATGGACTGCTCTCTTAATCTCATGCCAAACGTGCACGCTGTCATCTCCACATGCAGGAGGCTCAGATAGGAACCAGATTTCTTCTTGATATAAATTCAGCGTTATCTACAACCTGCTGAGGACGGCTTGGTATGACTGGTTTTGATTATTCTGTCCGCTGCGTCCCCCTGTTGTCTACCCATTGGGAAGATCACTTCATCATAGAAGGAAGTTTTGATATGGGAGTCTATCCTCTCCACTTTATTCCTGTTCACTGAAGGAGTAACACTCAGTTGTGTGTACGTTACACTGGGTGTGTGTTTGCTGTGCGCATGCCGGAGCATCTATGAGTGTAGGTTTTATGTGTGTTTGCACAAGACATCTGCTAAGTCAATAAGCCGGGGTTTTCTTTGTGGGTGTGTCGACTGCTGCGAGTGTCCAAGGAGAGTCCAGAGTTTACATCAGACCTTGTGGTCAGGAGCCTCACTGCGCTATGCTGTTAACCCTTCTGCTGCAACATGCACTCTCACTAACTGTTCATTTATGTAGGGATTACGTAGACAAAACGTGCCAAGTGCGGATCAAGTTGCAGTAAAAAGAAAAGGGGTGTAACCAAAATTATGAAGACTAGAGTTGTATTCCTGCACAAATACCATTCCTCAAATATCCCCTGAATACTTTAAAAGGCCTTAATCATCCTTTAATCGGTACAAATACTCCCTAATATACTTTTTAGTTTCCTTAACATCTGATTTTAATATTCTCAAATGTCCCTCAAAAGCAAGCATATGGGATAACTAACTCAAATAAAGAAATGAATTTGATCAAATGTGAAAATAAAGCGCATCTATCATCTCTGTGTTGTTATTTAAGTGAAAAACATTGGTCCGCATATACTGTAGTATCCTGTCACACTTATCTATATTGTATATTTACAGATATATTTAATTTATTTAAGATATGAGTGCAGAATTAGTAGGCATGGGTTCACAGCCTCAGTCAGATTTAAAATACTTTTAATACAAAATAAACTGGAGGCTTGAGCTTGTGATAAGGACCGTGTTTAGATGCCAACCAAATTCCAAACCCGGTCATACGACAAACTTTACTTTACACAAAGGTGTGAAAAACTTCTCTGTCCTCTAGATATCTAAATCACAAACTGTCTTTCTGAAAAATAAACACTTCAGCCATCTTTGAACTTAACTTGTATCCAAAATCACTCCCCATGTACTGTATAATGCACTGAATTTACTATCTGCCGTTTTATTTGGGTGTCTTGCTGCTAACAATCCCACAGTGCAATGCGCTAAACTTTATTGATGCTAAAAAGACCCTTTAACAAATCTACAGCTGTCAGTGACGCCGTGAAATAATGATGATTACGTGTCTAAAATCTTTATTTACTTAGATGCACAGAAGGATATTTAAGGATTCTGTAAAATATATTACAAAACTGTCACTAAAACCCTTCATTATTCATCTCAGAGCAGACTGAGGAGCTTGAGCGACATTTTAAGGGCTTCACTTCCATCTTTAGAGGTCAAATCCAGTTGTTTATTTTCCTACTAATGGCGACTTTATCTAGGTTTTATAGGGACTATAAAGTTTAGGGATTCATTTCCCCAAAAACAAGTGAAGGAAAAGTAACTTTTTGGTCATCTGCTGCTGCTGCTAAAAGCCTCCGCAGACTTTGGGAGCATCCTGCCACCGACAGCTGACATGTTTGTGTGTTTTTTGGCTCTCCGGACTCACACAAAGTACATTTGTTGAGTCCTCCGGCAGCAGATTTCTGTGTGTCTGGCAGGGAAACGAACAACGTGCTAAACTGTGATTTATGGGTGTGCATATTTGTGTTCATGCAACACTATCCTTCCTTCCTTCCTCCCTCCTCCAGTCGACATACGAGAGATCCGGGAGCTGCGGCTGGGGAAGGGCTCCCGTGATTTCGAGCGCTACCCGGAGGAGGCCCGAAAACTGGACGCCGCCCACTGCTTCATCGTGCTCTACGGACAGGAGTTTCGCCTCAGGACGCTCAGTGTGGCCGGTCAGTGTGTGTGTGTGTGTGTGTGTGTGTGTGTGTGTGTGTGTGTGCGTGTGTGTGTGTGTGTGTGTGTGTGTGTGTGTGTGTGTGTGTGTGTGTGTGTGTGTGTGTGTGTGTGTGTGTGTGTGTGTGTGTGTGTGTGTGTGTGTGTGTGTGTGTGTGTGTGTGTGTGTTGTGGAGTGGGGTCAGGTAGGTTGTGTTTCCAAGGTCCACACTAAATAGGAGGAAGTAATAAAGGGAAAGACCGGAGGTAAACAAATACCGGGTTTCTGGGGTATTTTTAATATTACTCTGGAAGGAAAATGGGTCGACTTTGACTGTGACGCACTTTTAACTAACATATGTCGCTAGTTTAAACGTGATCAGCCTACCTTGGTTTCAGTACAAATACTAAAACCTTTTTAGATTTGTTGCCTTTGAAAACAGCAGCTTCATAAAAGAAAAAAAAGAACAATGGGTTAAATTAACTCTGAAGAAGGGAGTCCTCTTCTGTCATGCAACAAGTTGAACTGTGTGCTGAAAATCTTTTTATCAGGCTACAAAATGATATTTTCATTTGACCATGAAAAACTATTTTAAAATGTGAATAAACAAGAATCAGAGTAAGCGGCTCATGCTGACTTTTGTATGGGACAGCTTGAAATATACGATCTTCAGTTGTGAGTGTTAATATGGATGGATGGATTTTCGTCTAACCCATGTCCTGCAGCTTTTTTTGTAGAGGTTTAACGGTCAAACACTCCTATGACGGCAATTCATACTGATCAAAGAATAAGGCCGATTTATTGTATAGTTTTCATACGTCAGCAAAATCCCTTGAAAACATTCTGACTTGCTCTCTACGAATTAAGACGTACATCTTTAAAAACACCTCACAAATATATAGATTTTTTCTTTTTATATGCTCAAGATTGACCTAAAACAACTGGTCACTGTAGTGTTTATGAAACGTCAGTATGTAACCAAAATGGGAGGAATTAGTGCACTTGTTATGGACTATTTTCAGTTGCGGATGAATCCACATTTGGGGCTCTAACGGGTATTTGAGATGTGTGTGGGATTGGGTCAACATAAACTACAGTGTGTGTGTGTGTGTGTGTGTGTGTGTGTGTGTGTGTGTGTGTGTGTGTGTGTGTGTGTGTGTGTGTGTGTGTGTGTGTGTGTGTGTGTGTGTGTGTGTGTGTGTGTGTGTGTGTGTGTGTGTGTGTGTGTGTGTGTGTGTGTGTGTGTGTGTGTGTGTGTGTGTGTGTGTGATGTTGATTCCCAATGTGTAGCTCACAGTCCTTTCTGTTGAAGGTCACAGACTACCTCCCATATTTCATTTGTACATCTTATCTGCTTAATATAATCACTCTTGCTCAAACAAAAGAGTTTTTATGTGATTGTAGCATCTTTCAAGTTACAAGGTTACAGGAGTCATTTACAGCACATGGTTGTACGGTGACATATAAGTGATTCATGCTCCACAAACACAGATTGCTTTAAGTAAGCAGTTTAATCTCATAGTCTATGTTTCATTCAAAATCAAATGTGTAGAGTCTAAAAAACGTCTCTTATGTAATGTTCTTAGAAATGTTGTCATCAAAATGAAATAAAACATAAAAAGAGCTGACAAGCTAAATATGATTGGATGAATAGACTTTTAACAGGGTGGCAGTTCCAATTCCCAAACAAGAAGAACATTTTAAAGAAATAGACAAAACGGCACAAGTAAAGTTTCAGATTTCTCCCTTTACTGTAAATAAGATTTCAACATCGATTTGATTTCCCCCTTTAAATGAAATGTCAACATCGATTTGATTTCCCCCTTTAAATAAGATTTCAACATGGATTTTAAGCTGTAAACTCCCCAAACTTGACTCTTGACATTTGATGAGTAAAAGATTGACATTTTGACACTTTTATATCCCTCTTTTTCCTGTCTCTGCAGCCTTCAGTGAGGAGGAGGTCAACATGTGGATCACCGGCCTCAACTGGCTGATGATGGACACTCAGAGAGCGCCCGCTCCGCAGCAGACAGACAGGTGTGTGTCCCTGTGGGAAACTGTTCAGGGTCTTCTACACCTGAGAAACACTGCAGTTAATCTCCTTTCTGTTGGGAATAAAATACTCATTAAAAGCAATCCTGAATACTTTGCAACTTTCTTCCAGTACCAAAACAACTAACTCTTTACCTTGTAAATCCACATTAAACAAACACAACAGTTAATCAAATAATCAAGACTATAATTTAGGGGAGTGAGTGTTTAAATAGAAAAAATAAAGACATTTTCAGTGGAGTAAACCTTATTTGTGATTAGTTTATGGGCCAAGTCATAGATATGCATCTCTGGACTACTTAATTGTGAGTTTATAAATCCTACGACACGTTCCCCCCCCTATATGTGTGATATCTGGTTGTATCAAAAGAAGTAGCGACCTGGACGGGAAAGGGAGGTGCGGGTCGGAGGCGAACAAATATTTGTTTTGGCCTGAAAATATTTACTCCAGATGAATGTGCGGAGGTGGGTTTGGCTGCTGTGGTGAGCGGGAGGACAGAGGGAGGCTGTCCACATAATGTGAGCTGTAATGTTTGAAGATGGTCACAGGAAGTTAAATGGCTAATTTTGTCTTTTCATGACAGTTGTGTAAACTGTGGATTCATCATCTTTTAAATACAGTTTGAAAATGTTGCTTGAAGTGAATTCTCCTCACTTTTTGTGTAAGGAAATCTAAACTAGTTCTACAGTATATGCTATATTTGTACATTATTGGTTAGTCAACCATGGTTATTTATTCTCTTCCCATAAGACTTAATACTTAGTGTTTAAACATAGAATGTGAGAAAAAACTATTTATAAATATATTTAAATAAAAATAAACATGCTTTCTTTCTATTTACATGTCTTTTCAAGCTGGTGATGATGCTGAATTTGTTGCCGCTACTAGCATTAGCATCACTCTTTTTACATAAGCGCAGCATAACACATCTACTGGTATCAAAAAGCGCAACATTGCCATACTTAAAGGGGTCCTATTATTCTTTTGGGGCTTTTCACACATTGTACGTGATAGGCTAAGGGTGGGACATCTCTAAGCGGTTGACAAATCACAACAGAGCCAGCCAGCTAACCAATCAGAGCAGACTGGGCTCTGGTTTCAGACAGAGGGTGAAAAGAGGTGCTGCAGAACAGGCAGTATCATACAAATAAAGAGATTTCTGAACATTATACTGTAAACATGTCACAGTAGAGGCACAAAATACAAATGTTACCCTGAAATTAGCATAATATGGCCCCTTTAAAATGTTGGAGTAATATTACAGTGTTTTTTTGGTTACCAACGAGGAACAACTTTGTCAGTTAGATCCAAATATTTACACATACTACAGAACATTTATTGTTTTGGTGCTAGAAGTGTAAAAAAAAATAGATACTAAAAGCTATTATTTTTGGTGTTAACACATTTGCAGAATAAGTCAAAACAAACCCTGAGAAAATGTCTGATTTCTTAGGAAAAATTTATTTTATTTGAGCAATGCTGTGCATCATTACAGCTGTAAGCAATCACTGGCATACCGTGCTTTCAATATTTAATTTCCGCACATATTTTGTAATAATGGCTCAGTCAGTATCATGTTTTCTCTCCTTCCCTCCCTCTGTAGGTGGCTGAGGAAGCAGTTTGAAGCCATGGACAGGAGCCACGAGGGCAGGTGGGTGACTCTCCATAAACATGGCAACACCCAATCAGATTTTAAACAGCAGCCTGTGAAAGATACTTATTGGCCGGTCTGTTACATTGGGTGGGACGTGAAGGTGAAACCAGATCCAGATGCCATCAAAGAGCACTGTCGGGGGTCTGATCTGACCTGGAGCTCCACACCCTGAAATGCAGATACTGTATCACATGTATCACACACACACTTCCTCTGTCTCTCTCGTGCTCACATTAATAAGCCCAGGCTTCTGGTTGGGTGGAAGCGGCTCCAGGACACACTGCCTGCCACCGGCTGATAAGGAGCAGGAAGTGATGTGATGGGCTGGGAGAGGGCAACTTCCTGTGTCCTGTGAAAATAGTAACGGTAGCCAGACAGAGGGAAGCGGGCGGATCAGACCTGGCAGTGAGGCCGGTCATTGACCCCAAAAGATCCCCTCAGCGCACTGACCTGGATTCTTCTTCTCTTTCTACCTGCCTCCCTTGCTTCCTTCCTCATTCTGTTACTGACACTTACATGTGTTTTTTTAATCAGTGAAAGTGGTGGTCCATGTGGTGTTTCTCCTAGAAAAAAAAGGATGTGGAGGCAAAGACAGATCCTCCGCATTTGAAACTGCAACAACTTTTAGGCTCTTTTATGACTTTTATTTTATTATTAACCAAAACAATGTCCATTTATTGGCTGTTCTCAAGATACTCATTATATCTGCAGATGGAGTTTACCCCAGTTTTCATGAAAGTGTAAACGTCAGGAAGAAAAGACAGCTGGTGCTCCAGAACAGCTTCTTGTGGAGAGATTAGAGTATTTTGTCAACAACTGTGACGCACAACAAACTGAACATGTTTTAACACGTGTGATACATATAAGTACGGAAGTTAAAACTTTCCGCTTAGCTAAGAAAGTTACTTAACCCTTACTTGAAGATGTTGCACAGTATCCATTAGAAGGTTTTTCTTAATTAGGAAAAGTGTTAGGGCGTTTACGGCGTTGAAAGATATTTTGAAACGGTAAAATTCTACATTTTACGTGGAGACTGTTTGTAATACTGTACGTGTTATCCCCTCACAATCATGGCCGATAGATAAAACAAATAAAAGATGAAAGGCAGAAATACTAAATAGGCCAGAAGACGAAATGTTCATACTCATACTTCATAAAAAATGAAGGCAAATGCTTAAAGGTACATTTGGAAATAACAGCGAACAGAAAACAACGTATTTGGGAGGTCTATTAATTCAAGAAGTCGGTGAAAAGGTCTGTCCAAGAGGTTCAAAACAATACTTAAACGTGTCTGTTCTGTTAGAAAAATAAATCACTAATTACAGGAATGTCAGAGATACCTTAACTTGTTTTCCTAAGGTGTTTTCTCCAATGGTTGAACTAACCTTAAGTGTAAGACCAAGATAAGAAGAGCACCTTAAGTAAAGGGTTTGAGGAAACCTTAAGGAGAAGACTTAATAGTGTTTTGGATTTATTTGACTTCAAAGGAACCTTATCAGATTTAAGTTGTTTTTTGTGCAACCTGCCCCTGACATTGACAGCAGTTCTTCAAACCATGCAGCGCCACCTCCTGGTGACAACACATATAGCATCACTGGGAGTTTTATGAATGGTTCTCCAAAAGGTGTAATGACCGTATAGTTTGTTTTTAGGATGATCTAGTCTTTGGTTTGGATAGACAGTCCTGGAATCTCTTTAATGTTTATAATGTATATTCCTTGTCTTGTTTGTGTTTCAGCATCACAGTGAAGGATGTGAAAGCGCTGCTTCCTCAGATCAACTACAGAGTCCCTAACACGCGCTTTCTCAAAGACAAACTGCAGGTCAGACCTCCTTCAGACCCCCTGCCTCTTTGAATATCCTCTCCTAGATGATAAGATGTCACACAAACTCTCGTCCTCCCTCTTTCCGCAGGAAGTGGAGGCCAGGAGCGACTTGTCCTACCCCAACTTCTCCCAGCTCTACAGGACGCTCATGTTCGACGCACAGAAGAGCGTGAGTGTCCCTTTTGAGTTTGCACAGACACACACTATTGTTATTGTTATTATTATTATTATTATTATTATTAGGCGCCGCTTTCCACCTTCTTCTCCAGTAGGACTCAGATGAGGGTGTACTCTTATGTGTGGCTGTGAACATTTTTTTTTATTATGAAGGGCAGACCATCTATTTGTATTTATTTTGTTTTTTTAGAAAGGGGCAGGTCATACAAGATTTTATTCTTCTCCCTGCTCCTTTTCGCTCAATGGTGTGTAGAGACATGTTTTGTTGGCAATTATTGTACATTTGGTTATGCGTACCATGAGCGGGACAAATACAAATGAAATGAAACACTTACACTGTTGTGGAAGAAGTACTTAAATCCTTTACTTGAACTACAAGTATTGCAATGATATAAACATGTACACACTTACATTTGTGCTAAAGATTAGCAAATGCTTCATTGATATATATACATTTTAATGTGCTTTTCCAGGCACCCAATGCTTGCCATTTACATTCCATAATGCAGGGCATTTGCAAGGCATGCAAAACAAATAGAGGACTCAAGAAAAAAGTTTGAGAGTGAAACAGAGCAGAAAGGACAGTGAAATTAAATCTGCAAAGAAGCTGCGTTATCAAGCTGAAATAATGTAACTGAAGACATGATGTTCACTGCTGGATTCATGCAACTCAAGCAATATTTAAAATGGGTAGCTGTCATTCGAAGTACAAGTGATTTGTAATAAAACAATTGTAAAAAATGCAAAACCTTATTTTACCGGCTTATTACCTGAACAGATGCACTTTGCTCAGAATATAGACTCATATTTGTACATAAATCATAAACAAGTAACAAGAACAAAAAAAAAGAAAACTGAAAGACAAACAAAATTATAATATGGATGAAAAATAATAAAAGACAAAAGTAAAGCTGATTACAAAGTAATGAATCATACAATTCTTAGGGAGGGATGATTTCCCAAATATACATTTATACACACTTACGTACCCCTGTTCATATAAATACATACACAATTGATATTGACATATCGATGAAATATAATCCCTTCATTTGAGATGCAGGGTTTTCACACCTGTCTGTCAACTGGTCCCTCCCCTTTTCTCCCCAGATTATTGAGCAGCTGGAGCTCTCCTTCCCACTGCGGTGAGTCCCTCCACCTCCACCACCTCCCTCTTCCTCAGTGTCCACTCCCTCGTCTTCACCTCCCCCCCACCCCTTCTATCAGTCCAGTCTGGCACACACACAATATATACATTTGTTAAAGACGGAATAAACTACATCTTTAGTGGATGTCTTCAGTGCTTCATTGACCAAATGTGACATTACAGAGACATAGTTAGTGCTAAGGAAAAAGTTCAGGCTTCTTTGGATTTCTCTGGGTAACCAGGGGGTGTTCTCTATATGTTGTCCAGAAACAGAACATCCTTGTTAAGAGAACAAGGATGTTAGAAACTTAGCAAGTTTGCAATAACAGCAAAGAGTGCTGTTATTGCAAACTAGCTAAGTTTCTAACAGCGAAAATGGCGTCCCAAATAAAGAGTGAATAGGATATTATGGACGAAGATGCATTTTAGCTGTATGAGCTCGAGCCGTTGGTGTAGTTGTTTTTTTTTCTTCAGGAAAATAAAACATTCCCATGTGTTTTTGCCATTTAAATGGTACTTTAATGTTTTGTGTTGGCTCTATGGCTGTGAAACATCAACACGTATGGAACATTAACTTACAAATTGCATAATTAGAACTGGCAAAGGTAGAGTTATACGAGTAGTTCCAGATAGCCATTTGTATATCATGCATCAAGCCCCGTTTCTCATTTAGTTGAACTATTGTTAAACTTTTACTTATATGCTATCTGAAATTTAAAAAAACGGTGTGTTTGTAGGAATGTGGACAGACCGGAGCTTTGTCAGATGTCCCTCTACGACTTCCAGAAGTTCTTACAGATGGATCAGAAGGTACTGAGCAGATTCAGCACTAATCACAGTAACATTTTCTGTTCAAATCTGCTCTGGGCTCACTTCTGTATCCGTCTCCTCTCAGGAGTCCTGGGCTTCAGATCTGAGTCGTGTCCGAGAGTTCCTCACGGGGTACATGAGGGGGGGGGCCGCAGCCGGAGCCCATGCTACAGCTCGATGAGGTGAGACAAAGAAAGAGAAACCTGAAAAATCTGTCCAGAGTTATTCCTGCTTCACAGCCTGGTGCTTCATGTTTTTAGTTCCTGACGTTCCTGTTCTCTAAAGAGAATTCTGTGTGTGACCCTCAACTGTCTCCTGTCGTTGCTGATGACATGAAAAGGCCGCTGTCTCAGTACTGGATCTCCTCCTCTCACAACACGTACGTCCCAACATTTGTGTCGCAAGAAAAGCATTTTGTTGTATTAAAAGGAGCTTTTGGAAAATAATGGTGATTTAATGACACCACCTTGTCATATTAAGAGTCATATGAAAAGAAGAGATACTTTTCTCTCTCTTTCTTTCTTCTCTGTATGTCCAATGTTCACATATAGCTTAGCCTAGCATTGGTTATTTTTTTGCTGGTCTTGCAAACAGCCCCAAGCCTACCTGACTCAAAGTTGTGTATGTGTGTTTGAGATACAAATATCACATGCTTTGATAAGCAGTTTAACTTAAAATCCCAGCTTACATTTGTTGCATGTATCTAAATCCTTTTTTAGCCATTCATCTTTTTCAAAATGATGGTTATTTTGTGGTTCTGTCTATCAAATGTGTGGATTTGTTACTGGCTTTAAAACAATTATTTTACTGAATAATAAAGATGAAATAACTGACAATATGTATTAATCAATGGTGGAAACTATGATTAGTCGCATCCCATTGAATGCACATTAAGGTACAGTTCTGAACTTGTTTCTTTGTTCCTGCTCTCTCAGCTACCTGACAGGTGATCAGTTTTCCAGTGAATCGTCTCTGGAAGCGTACGCCCGCTGCCTCAGGATGGGCTGCCGCTGCATTGAACGTGAGAGTCCCCAATATTTGATATAAAAATTAATAAAAAATGAATCAGAAATAGAAATATGTTCTTGATCCTCGGGGGGAATTTTGGTTAATATCTGTTTAGGGAACAAAAGGTTTTCAAATGAATCTGTGTTTTGTGCTCACAGTGGACTGCTGGGACGGACCTGACGACCTGCCAATCATCTACCACGGCCACACGTTAACCTCCAAGATCAAGTTCCTGGATGTGCTGCACACCATCAAAGAGCACGCCTTCGTCACATCTGAGTACGTTTGGAGATGGTTTTCATAGTATTAATAAATGTTATTTAGATCACATCTGCCTGGGTGAGAATACCAGTGCTTTGGGATAGTTTGGGTTGTTGAAGGGGGTAGTGTGAGGTACTTATCCTAAAAAACGTTATATGATGTTATATATATCAGGAGTAGATAGGGAAACATAGAGGAGTAACAGCACAAAAGCAACGCAATGTAAAGTGAGATTTGCAACAGGGGCAGAAACCAAGGTCATGTAGTCACCTATTTAGTTACCATTTAACAATATCCCTTAAACTTTATTTAAACCTAGTCCCTAACATCTCCACTAGTGTTGCAGTCGTTTGCAAGAAACCTGCCAGTTGTTTTGTTTCCAGATATTCAGCTCCCTGCTGTGTGTGTGTGTGTGTGTGTGTGTGTGTGTGTGTGTGTGTGTGTGTGTGTGTGTGTGTGTGTGTGTGTGTGTGTGTGTGTGTGTGTGTGTGTGTGTGTGTGTGTGTGTGTGTGTGTGTGTGTGTGTGTGTGTGTGTGTGTGTGTGTGTGTGTGTGTGTGTGTGTGTGTGTGTGCAGGTATCCTGTGATCTTGTCCATCGAGGACCACTGCAGCGTGGTGCAGCAGAGGAACATGGCCACACACTTCAAGAAGGTGTTCGGAGATCTGCTGCTCACCAAGCCTGTAGACAACGGCGCAGAGGAGCTCCCCTCCCCCCACCAGCTCCGCAGGAAGATCCTCATCAAGGTACGCATTCAGACACACACCTACCCCTCTGGTTAAGGGTTTTAGGCTTCTTGCACCATCGCTGAGGGTGGACACTGGGCTAGAGAAAGTTATTTGGTAGAGGAGGGGGAGGCTCAAGAGGCCCTATTCGGCTTTTTGGGGGTTCCTTTTCCTGTAGTGTATTACTTAGGTTTGTATGCATGTAAAGGGTCTGCAAATGTAATGTATCCATAGAAAATTGGAGGAAAGAGCAATGGATTTTACTGATAAATTATCAACAATTGAAAAAATAGCAGCAGATTAAAACAGTTTTCTCGTGGCTCGTCAAATATCTGATATAACCTTTTCTTTCTTTTACATTACATAAAAACAAATGGGAATGTCAAACTTCAATAGATCTTTCTACTTTGTCACCGTTTGAGTTGCCCTTGTAATGACCTTATTGTGTTGTGCACTCTTCTTCTGCAATGGTTTTCCAATTAGAGTAATGGTACCACCTGCTGCTTATCTCGATTAACAACCCCTAATAGATTGCATTAAAGGAGTGGGTGGCAACAGGCATTCATTTGCATTTAAATGGCAGATTCTTTGTAAGATTTAAATGAAAATCCATTGGCCTTGAGCAAAATCTTCAACCTCCATAAATTATAACATGTTGTAGAAAATCCCAACATGCATGCAGAAAATGCTCCCACATTCCTCAGTGAGGTTAAGTTCCCCCCTTTATCACAGCACAAGAAGCTGGTGGAAGGCACGCTGTACGAAGAGGTGACTTCAGCCAGCTACTCAGAAAACGACATCAGCAACTCTCTGAAGAACGGCATCCTCTACCTGGAAGACCCCATCGACCACGTGAGTGTGTCCGTCTGCCTCACACACACAGTCAGTGTGTCGTGGAGTGTTACTGAAATGTGTTTGTGTGTGATTCACAGACGTGGACCCCGCACTATTTTGTCCTGACCAGTAATAAGATTTACTATTCAGAGGAGACGTCTCACTACCAGACGACTAATGAAGAGGAGGACGACGAAGCGAAAGAGGTAGGGAGATGATTATGAAAAATAAACAAGATATAATAAAGTGTTTATCAGGTAAAGCTGATGCTCCCTCCCTCGGTCAGGAGTGTAACAACAACGAGCAGCACTGTGCCGAGCGCTGGTTCCACGGGAAGCTGGGCGGAGGTCGTGACGGGCGACAGGTGGCCGAGAAGCTCCTGCAGGAGTACTGCGAGGGGGGGGCCAAGGACGGAACCTTCCTGGTGCGGGAGAGTGAGACGTTTGTGGGAGACTACACCCTCTCCTTCTGGTCAGTTACACTGAAATCACACACTACACACTCAAATTGATCTCAGCTTCTTTTTGTTTTGGAGAAAGAAAGAAAGAAAGAGAAATAGGAATAAAAGAAGAGATAGCAGGATTATAGAAACACATTTATAAGAACGTGATTGGGGGAGTTGAGTAAGGCAAGGCAAGGCAAGTTTATTTATATAGCACCTTTCAACACAAGGCAATTCAAAGTGCTTTACAAAAATGAAAGACATTAAGAAAATGGAATTTAAAAACAGTCATTAAAAAGCAAAGATAATAAAATAAACATTAAAAGAAAAAATACATGGATAAAAGTTACAGTGCAGTTTAAGATATGAATAGTTCAATTAAAAGCAGTGGCAAAAAGAAAAGTCTTCAGCCTGGATTTAAAAGTAGTAAGAGTTGCAGCGGACCTGCAGGTTTCTGGGAGTTTGTTCCAGATATTTGGAGCATAATAACTGAACGCTGCTTCTCCATGTTTAGTTCTGACTCTGGGGACAGAAAGCTGACCAGTCCCTGAAGACCTGAGAGTTCTGGATGGTTCATAATTTAGCAGTAGGTCAGAAATGTATTTTGGGCCTAAACCATTCAAAGCTTTATAAACCAGCAGCAGTATTTTGAAATCAATTATTTGACAAACAGGAAGCCAGTGTAAAGACTTCAGAACTGGAGTGATGTGATCCACTTTCTTAGTGTTAGTGAGGACTCGAGCAGCAGCGTTCTGAATTAGCTGAAGCTTTCTAATAGATTTTTTAGTGAGACCTGTGAAGACACCATTACAGTAGTCGAGTCTGCTGAAGATAAAAGCATGGACAAGTTTTTCCAAATCCTGCTGTGACATTAGTCTTTTAATCCTAGATATGTTCTTTAGGTGACAGTAGGCTGATTTAGTAACTGTTTTAATGTGACTGTTGAAACTCCATGAGTCCATCTACACCTAGATTTCTGGCTCTATCTGTTGTTTTGAACATTGCAGACTGAAGCTCAGCGCTAACTTTTATACGTTCTGCCTTGGCTCCAAAAACCATTACCTCAGTTTTATCTTTGTTTAATTGGAAAAAGTTCTGACACATCCAGTCATTGATTTGTTCAATGCACTTACTCAGTGTTTGAATTGGAGCATAGTCTCCTGGTGAAATGGTTATGTAAATTTGTGTGTCATCCGCATAGCTATGGTAACTTATTTTGTTGTTTTTCATTATCTGAGCCAGTGGTAGCATGTAGACGTTAAAGAGAAGAGGCCCCAAGATGGAGCCTTGAGGTACCCCACATGTCATATTTGTCAACTCAGATGTGTATTTACCCATAGAAACAAAGTTGTTTCTGTCCTTTAAGTAGGATTCAAACCAATTTTGAACTGTTGCCGAAAGTCCCACCCAGTTCTCTAGTCAGTCTAGTAATATGTTGTGGTCAACAGTGTCAAACGCAGCACTGAGATCTAATAATACTAACACTGAAGTTCTGCCACTGTCTGTGTTTAAGTGGATGTCATTGAAGACCTTAACAAGAGCAGTCTCAGTGCTGTGGTTTGGACGAAAGCCAGACTGGAACACATCAAAACAGTTATTTAAATGCAAGAAATTACTCAACTGTTGAAAAACAACTTTTTCAATGATTTTACCAAGAAATGGCAGGTTTGATATGGGCCTGTAATTGTTCATTACTGAAGTAAGAAAACATTGTTTTAGCTACGAGTTGATAAAATAAACAATTGTGATTATTTGTAATGATATTGCAATTACGATATGATTTGCGATGGACTGTAAATGGGAACAATAGTTTCATTTTTTCTTTACCAAACAAGGATATTTTATCACGTAAAGCCACAATACCACAATACTTGGTTTAGAGTATTTCACATATTTTGCCATAACCAAATATTGCATTTACTGTGATTTGGATTCTATATTGTGATATTTTATATAATTTAGATGAATAGTGCAGCCCTAATTTCAGCATTTGTTAACATTTTGTTCTGAGTAAGGTCAAAGTTAAAGTGGACCTATTATGCTATATTGGAAAAATATATTGTAGGGCCATACCTATACAAAACATGTCTGTGAAGTTTTTTGCTTAAAATACCAAACAGATCACCCATTGTAGCCATGCCTCATACTGCTCATACCCCTCTTTTGAAGCCCTGTTAGAGAAACGCGGATTTTGAGTCCTTAGCTTTAAAAAAAGAAAGAAAGAGGAGGCGGAGCTAATGCCTGATCAGAATTATACCGGAGATAAAGTTAAATTCTGCTGTGATAAAACGCCATCCTGTTCTAAACCACATCAAGGATTATTTCTGAAACAGTATGGAGCTCAAATGCTTTTTCTCTTGCGGGTTTCCTTTTTTTATTTCCTGCTTTTTAAACACATGTGCTCTACACAGTACAGGTTAGCTCTGAGTGTTAGCAAGGCTTGCTAATGTAAACAAAGACGAGATTACGTCCAAAACACGTCAGGCATTGTTTCTGATAGCAACTTTCTGTGGGTCCACCGCCGATTTGACGTCATATCGGCAGCAAATCGGTATCCGCTCGTTGTACACCCGTTTTTAAAAGATTTTGGTACGGAGGAAAAGAGAAAGGGTTTTATTTTCTGACGCTGCGTGAGTTCCCCGACGCACCAGGGACACATATTTATGTATAAAAGACATCAAAAAGTGCATTTTGCATGATAGGTCCCCTTTAACCTGTTCAACCTGGAGGCCCCCGCCCGGGGCTATGATCGCCAATTTTGGGGCCGATCGCCGGATCTGCCTTTATGTTTTTGTTCTATGCAATCTGGTTAAAATTTGAGCAATTTATTTAAGTCCCCGGTGTTCCAGGGAACTCACCAAGTGTCAGAAACACAACCCTCTCTATTTTCCTCCATACCCAAATCTCTAAAAAAGGGGCTGCAACGGATCTGATAAAAACTGATCCAGATTTGAACACTGTCCTGACGTCAGGACGGTGGCGCTACGGCTATTGGGCCAACTCTCCACCTATCAGGGGAATGTGGGGTTGGGCCACGGCCGGCCATTGGCGCTCGAAAGCGCTGGAGACGCTGTAGTACATATGCCAGGCCTGTAAGTGGCGCTGTAGTCTGCCACAAAAGCAGCGAAGAAGACTTCCCGCCCATAGTTACCATGGTTACCCTTCTGTTTATTCTCCGCTATGGCTTTTTTTCTCCCTCCCCGAGGCAAGCGTTTGCTCCCGCAGCAAGCACTGTAATTCTCTCCTGTTAGTCCACCAGCAGATGACAAACACCCACCTCTCCGCCTCTTCCAAGGAACGAGGGGACCGTGCGGCAGAGTTTCAGTTTCAGTTTCTTTCGCCGGTCAAGATGTCCGTTAAAGTTTAAATCTTCCGGACAAAATCAGAAAAGTGCCGGTCAAAGGTCTTCTTTGTTATTTAATGAGCTTTAAAACAAATGAATAACAACTCGATATAATAAAACACAGAGGACGGAGATCTCTTTTTCTCCCCCTCTTCTGACAGCCCAGCAGCTGATCAGAGCACGTCTCCCCTCTCCTGCAGGGGGGCGTGGTCAGCAGAATCAGACCCGTAGACAGCAAACAGCACATAGAGCGAAATGAGGCATGGCTAAAATGCATGATCTGTTTGGTATTTTGAAAACAGAAACGTATAAATATACCTTATATAGGTATGGCCCTACAATATATCATTTAAATATAGCATGATAGGTCCACTTTAAGTATTGAATGTTTAATCAGTCTTTGTCTTCAGCCTGCCAGAGTTTTATAACAGATGAGTAGCGTTGAATATGCAAACGGTCCCTCCTCCTCCAGGCGCTCCGGTCGGGTCCAGCACTGCAGGATCCACTCCCGTCAGGAGTCGGGCTCCACTCGATTCTACCTTACCGACAACCTGGTATTCGACAGCCTGTACCGCCTCATCTGCCACTACAGAGACACGCCTCTGCGCTGCAACGAGTTTGAGATGCGGCTGCTCAGCCCCGTCCCTCAGCCCAACGCGCACGAGAGCAGAGAGTGAGTCATCAATGTCCCTTCACTACTGATGTATTTGAAAGCAGAGAGGAAAACTGAATAAAACAGATTTCTGTCTTCCAGGTGGTTCCACTCCAGTCTGTCGCGTGTTCAGGCTGAACACATGCTGATGCGTGTCCCCAGAGACGGAGCTTTCTTAGTGCGGAAACGCAGCGAAAACAGCTCCTATGCCATCTCCTTCAGGTCGAAAAAACCCAAAGACAATCAATGAAGTCTATTTTTGAGAGTTTAACGTTCTGTGTTTAAATGTCCTTCTCTGTCCATCTGCCTGCAGGGCGGAGGGGAAGATCAAGCACTGCCGTATTCAGCAGGAAGGACGCCTCTTCATGTTGGGCAGCTCGGCAGAGTTCGAGAGTCTCGTGGACCTGGTGACCTACTACGAGAAGCATCCTCTGTACCGCAAGATGAGGCTCCGCTACCCCATCAACGAGGACACTCTGGACCGCATGGGCACCGCGGTGAGACACACACAGATCAGGAATCAAATATTAAATGTTTACATCACTGCTGTAGTAGCCCGTGTTTTCCACTTAAAGTCACCAACTTGACAACCAACTGTTGACGTCCAGCGCTCTGTCTGTTAACCTCTTTCCTTCTCTTGCACAGTGTTGCTTTTTTCTACTGGGGACAGTTTAGCCATCATGTATCCAAAGTTTGGTGCTCTCCTCGAATATAAATATGAATATTCAAAAAGTATTTTATGATCAAAATAAAAACATAATGTCCATCAGAAGTTTCAACCGTACATTGTTTTTCATCAATCAACCAGTAATTGTCTGGCATCCTTGATGATAAACACCTAAATAATCAATTGGCATACTTCATTTTGTGGATTCTTCCTCAATTTGCACCTTAAATAGCGTTTTTTTATGCAATAAACTAGTGTCCGCCATTAAAGTCATGCATGGTTTTCACTGAGATACTACTAATTCAAGTAACCTGGCTGATTCAAAAGCAGAAAAAAAAGAATGAAAAATACAAAATATAAATTGTATGTAGCAATAACGTGCACAACATAATTACCACAACTGATATTTGCTGTTATTGTACCTTCATACATGTGTATTGCAGCTTTCAATGCAGAATGAGTTTAATAGCGCCTTTTAAACCTCAACACTAACCGCTATTATTTGTCATGGATGTGTCAGGAGCTCGACTACGGGGCGCTATATGAGGTCCGCACCCCTCATTTCTACGTGGAGGCCAATAAGATGCCCACAGCTCGGGTAAGTGAGACTGAACTGTGGACCTCCAGTTTTATTCACTGTTAATCATCTAATCATTATCATATCATTCAACACATGATTAGCAGAGTTATTCCCTTTTGAAGCTAATATGGAGTATTTATTTCAGAATGTATTTATTCCATTGCCAAATTAACCTCTTTCTATTACTTACTTATGATATCAAATTGTATTCCATGGAAGAGCAGAGTTTAGTTTTACTGTTTGGTGAAACTCTTGAACTCCAGTTTGAGAGCCTTTTTAGCTTATGGATGAGTTAGCGATGAAGAGAACAAAGAAAAGAAAGACAAGTTGAAGGAAGAAAGGGATGTTCTTGAGTAAGGAAATAGAAACAGGATGTACAGTATAAGATTTAAACATGTTCTGACTTTTGCACCTCCTAGTGGTCATATGTAAAAGTTCAGAGTGTCAGACAGACTGATGGTTCCTCTCCTATTTCAGTGCACGGTCAAAGCTCTGTACGACTATCGAGCTCAGAGGGAGGACGAGCTCTGCTTCCCCAAACAGGCGCTCATCGTCAGTGTGGAGAAGCAGGATGGCGGCTGGTGAGTGCATCTGTACCATGTGACCTCCTGTTTGTGTGTTACTTCCACCTATTGCAGCTCCTCATGAACCTGTGTGCTGTGTTTAGGTGGCGAGGCGACTACGGAGGGAAGAAACAGCTGTGGTTTCCTGCAAACTATGTGGAGGAGGTCCCCAGCTCCCCCTCCAGAGAGCCGGACCAAGTGGTGAGTGAGGGGTGAGCTGAACAAAATGATCAGCTTGTGTTTCCAATCCTAATTTTGTTGTTGTTGTTGTCTCAGTCCACAGAGAACAGTCCTCTCGGGACGTTTCTTAAGGGCTTCATTGATGTTCCCACCTGCCATGTCGGTGAGTCCAGTAAACACATGCTTCAGAGCCATTTTTTACTTTTTATTTATAGACTTATACAGTCCAAACACTTGCTTGCTTTGGTTAAAATGCTCATTTATATTTTTTGAAGAAAAATAAATACAGCCCATAATATGATTAATCTAAGAAATGAAAATAATTGAGATGGAAGGTAAGTATAAAGCTGTCCGATTACATTTTACACAGACATCCTACAAAAACCTCACAATCCTGTAAAAGAGCGGGAATTATCTTCAGACGTCTTTAATCTGTCTGACAAGCAAAATGTATGATTTCTGCAATTTTGTGTAAATTGCACAGTATTTCCTTCAAAATGGTTGATCTGGATACGCCTTCACACTTCTACTGCAATTTCTGTAAATGACCCAACTAACCAACCAAATCTTGAACACATAAATACACTTCCTGATACATTTCACCCTGTGGAGACTTTTGACTCTTCTTCTGGCTTATAAAGCACTACATGGAAAGGCACCATCATACCTATTGCACAATTGTAATCCTCTATTGCTCCTCTAGGGCATTAAGCTACCAGAGTGCAGGGTTGCGGTCGAATAGTCCATTTAGCTTAGGAACCTTCCTAACGGAGTGAAATAACCCGGAAGTCCCTCAGTGGCAGCCATGATAAGAGCCGTTCGAATTCTCTAAATTAAAAGGAAAGGAGGTTTCAAACTTCCTTTATAACCTCCTTTAGCTTAGGAACCACTGGACCTCCCTAACCTAAAGGAGAGGGGGAAATGCTGCCCCACAATGCCTTGCGGCCGCGGCATTTGCCGTCACACAACAGTCGGCCGTTCACGGAAACAATCGATTATGAACGAGAAATGATATCATGAAAGTTACGGTTCAAAACGTATGTGGTAAGTTGCCAAAGTGCTTTGTTTTGAACGTTCATCAGTATTATAATCAAAAAGAGAAATATGAATGTTAGTTTTTACTGAAATGATCAAATAAAGTCAACATTTCACAGTCTTTACTGAGCTGTGTGGGGTTTGTTCAACTTTTAAAAGATGTTTGAATGGTGATATACACAGTGATAGATGTTAAGCACTAACGTTTATAATAAATACATTTGTATTTATTTTAAGATCTTTTCATACAATCATATGTATTGGGATCATTTGTATTAATGTGGACCGGAGGGAGAGGGTGACGAGCATAAGTTTCACTTTCCTTTTTTATTTCAATTCCAACTTTGGTCATGAAGAATATGTTTCTCTGTTGTCCCCGTTCATAAAGCATAAAACAACAGCATCAGAGCACGGTGCAGAGTCTCTAGATGAGTTTACAGTAGTCCCTCGTTCTTATTATACATCCATGTTGTAGTCCGCTGTATAGAAAACTGTAGTTTCCATAGTTTCCCCACAGCAGCAGACGCACATTTATGACCTCCACTGGCGCATCATAAACACGTCGGATAGTGAAAGTGCAGTCGGATTCTCAAAGCACTGCAGTCTCTTCTCCTAAATCCTTTTGAATTCTCCTATCCACTATCCCTTAACCCTGTGACGTTTCACTCAGAGGTCAAGGAATAGACGATAGGGTTAGAATTTAGGAGCTGTTTTTTTGGACTATTCGACCGCAACCAAAGTCTTTTAGTGGTTCCCAGAGTCCGAAGAACCAGATCAGGAGTCAGAGCGTTCAGCTACTAAGCTCCCTTTCTCTGGAACCAACTTCCTGTTTTTATTATGGAGGCAGACAGTGTGCAGAAGAGTGTGTTGAAGACCTTCCTTTTAAATAAAGCCTATACTTGGAGCTGATTATGCTGTGTTTGTCCCCCTGAGTCCTACATTTTATGGTATTTATTCTATTGTTGTATTGTATTTTTACTGTCTTTTTGTTGCATTTTATCTTGTTTTATTTGTATCTATTTGATTTGTGTTTCATGTTCTATCTTGTGTTTTTATTATTTGATTTATCTGTTAACACTGCCATCAATGTTTGTTTATCTCTAAAGCCCATGTCTCTAAAGAGACATGCATGTTTTGTGATAACTTGCTATATAAATAAACTTTGATTTGATTGTTGTAACCTGTTAGCCCTCTTTGGAAACACATCTAAAAAGTCTCAAAAACAACTTTTTCTGAACGGAACTCTCTCTCTCTTACCTTACTTCTTCCTCTCTCCATCGCTCTGTCCAGTGGTGCTTAAGGACGGGAAGAACTCTCGCCCCCATGTGATCACCATCCAGTCCCAGCAGCCGTCCTCTCTCCCGGTGCAGACCCTGGACGTGGCGGCCGACTCTCTGGAGGACCTGACGGGCTGGGTGTCCCGGATCAGAGAGGCCACGCAGAACGCTGACGCACGGGTCAGTACGCAGGGAGGGACAACTTCATCTTGTGGGAAATGTAGCCATTTTACAGACATTACATTTTTAACAATCAGATTCACAATTCTTTATTTATCCCATTTCAGCGACCTTGGGTCCCGTGAAAGGCGCTTTATAAATTCCATTTATTATTATTATTATGAGGACATTTGTTTTGATGACAGTTGCTCCATTAAAAATGTAATAACTTAAGAAAATAGAATAGAAAAAGTATATAAACATAAGAAGTTAAATTAAAATGTGCAATAAGAAAATAAGATGAAATAAAAAGTAAGAAAATGTAAGCCTATGGAGTTAAAGTAAAAATGTGCCACATGAAAATAAAATGGAATAGAATACAAATAAAATAGTAAAATTAGGTTTCATGACAGTTGCCCCATTTTATAATAACATGAAAATAAAAAGATAAAATGAAATAGAATGAAAACAAAATATTAAGATAATAAGTTAAGTAAAAAACCTGCAAGTTGTACTTCTATAAATATACAACATGTTAAACATGAATATTACAATATATACATTTGTTTATAAGTATTAATAAAGATATTGATGAGGAACCATACTATGGCTCACAATGCTCAGTGTAATACAGTGATGATCCTAAGTTGTATTAATGTTGCCCAGTTGAATAATTATAAGTACACAGTATAAGTATTGTCAGTATTGCCCAGTTACAGAGGGTGAAAGCCACTGATTGGTAAGTCAAGTCAATGCATTAAAGTCTTTTTAACAATCATTTCGGATTAAACCTTTGACCATGTTGCTGCTCTTTCTAAAGTAATCCAATATTTCAAAGGCTCTTTTTATATTGACTGAACAGTATCTCCATGGTAACAGATGCAGGAGGAGAAGCAGATGGAGAGGAGGAAGAAGATCGCGGTGGAGCTGTCAGAGCTGGTGGTCTACTGCAGACCCGTCCCCTTCAACGAGGACAGTAAGGACCAAACTGCTCTCTCTTCTTCTCTTGCATCACTTGTAAAGTTTCCGTGTTTAACTCTTTTTTTTTTTTTTTGCTGCTGTTTCAGAGATCGGGACAGAGAGGGCGTGTTACCGGGACATGTCCTCCTTCCCGGAGACCAAGGCGGAGAAGTTTGCGACCCGCAGCAAAGGGAAGCGCTTCCTGCAGTACAACCGCCGGCAGCTCTCCAGAGTCTACCCCCGAGGACAGAGGCTGGACTCGTCCAACTACGACCCGCTGCCCATTTGGCTCTGCGGCTCCCAGCTGGTGGCTCTCAACTTCCAGACCCCAGGTCAGTGTGCAGATATACATGTACGTTTACACAGTGTCAGAACAAAAGAGAAGGGCACATACAAGCAATCAACAAGTAAGTAAAACATTATATAAAAAGCTATTGTAAAAAAATGTTTTCCTCATATTCAATGTTGGTTGCTAATTACAAGTTAAGTGCCACTGACAGACATTTTCTGCTTGTTTTTGGATCTCAAGCATGCAAATACAGTTTGTGATGAATTCAAATGTATTTATTTACTTATTAGAATGATTTGCTTGCATTTGTGTGACCACCAGGGAAATGGAACAGTATACTACATAGAATAAAATGAAAAAATATATGCTTGATCGCATTTCAGAGTTAAATCTAAGGGGTGAAGAGATGGTTTAAAGAGGTCCTGTTGTGTGTTTTGGGTTTCCTGTAGTGTGTTCTATAGGTTTTTGTGCATGCAAATGGTCTGCAAAGGCTTGAACCCCAAAGTTCCCTCCGCACTCCCCCTGGCTAGCACTTAAACACATTGCTTGTGAGGGCGGGACATGACCAATCAGAGCAGACTGGGCTCTGGTTTCAGACAGAGGGTGAAAAGAGGTGCTGCAGCACAGGCAGTATGAGAAACATAAATACATTTTTGAACATTAAAGCATGGAGACATGTCACAGTAGAAGCACTACATATAAATATGAACCTAAAAATGAGCATAATAGGGCCACTTTAATGGTTTACTGCTACAGAAAAAATAATCATTTTCAAAATGTGTTTAAAGAATATGTTTACCTCTTCAGGTTGATTATTCAAATGATCTGAAGCGAAAGAAAAACAATATCTCGGTAAAAATGGTTGGAGGTTTGACTTAACTAGGTGACAAGGTGAACTTGAACGCATAATTACTACCCTCATGTACACACTTATTTAAAGTTGCAGGCTCTTAACAATAAGGATGTCAGTTGTATGAAACAAAGTAAATGTGTTTGATGAATCTGAAATGTGTGTGTAGATAAACCCATGCAGCTGAACCAGTCCCTGTTCATGCTGGGAGGGAGCAGCGGCTTCGTTCCTCAGCCCGAAGTTATGAGCGACGACGCCTTCGACCCTTTCGACAAGGACACCCTACATGTGGAGCCAATCACCATCCAGTTACAGGTCAGATCCATCATTTCTGGATAAAAGAAAAATGTTTTCTTAGCCCCCTCTTGACATTTTTATTTAGTTTTTGCTGTTTTATCCTTATGTTTTAAAGGAAAAAACAGTTTGCCCGGAGACTAAATATAGTATGATAAGAAAATGGCTCCATCTTAGAAACAGCAGGAAGCACAATCAAGCATTGCATGAACTCCTAACAAGTTGAATATTAACCAACACACTGCACAACAAAATTAAATGGAAGATGTGCTGTAAGATATTTGCTAAAAGTTAGTCTGAACCAGATTAATATTGATAATTGAACTTTATTGATCCAAAATTAGGTAAGTTATAGCAGCAATATACTTTATTTCAAGACTTTAGACCAAGGGTGCCCACACTTTTTCAGCTTGGGAGCTACTTTTAAAATGACCAAGCCCAAATGATCTACCTACAGGGCCGCCCCTGCCCAATCTGTGTCGCGAGCACGGCGGGGGGGGCAGATGAGGAGGTGAGGCCCCCTCATAACGGCATGAACCCGTATGGCACAATTTGCGATCGACCGATCGACGTATTGGGCACCCCTGCTTTAGACCAACCAGAGCCTATATTTCTCCTTATCATACTAAATCAAAGCTTGGGCCACAGTTGTATTAACAGTCTCTTAAAGCTTAAGATTAAGATGTTCGTTGTTCTATCTACTTTTCACACTTGTTTCTCATCTTGAATCAGGTGCTCGGAGCCCGCCACCTGCCTAAAAATGGCCGCAGCATCGTCTGTCCCTTCGTGGAGGTGGAGATCTGTGGAGCAGAACATGACAGCTGTAAATGCAAGACGGACGTCGTGGGTAAGACAACGTGCTGCCACCTGGCTGCTACATACGTGATTTACATTGATGTGTTCACTGCCTGAGCGCTGACCGTCTATCCTCCTGCTCCCCAGCTGATAACGGGTTGAACCCTGTGTGGGTGCAGAGGCAGTTTGTGTTCGACATCCACAACCCCAGCTTCTCCTTTCTGCGCTTCACTGTCTACGAGGAGGACATGTTCAGCGATCCTAACTTCCTGGCACAGGCCACCTTCCCTGTCCGTCTGCTACGCACAGGTGAATGTGAAATAATAGCAGAACCAAAACTCAAAGAAGAGAGAAAAAAATTGATTAACTGATTATTAAAGTTGTTTACCTGCGTTACATAGGGACATCACTACTTAAAGGGCCCATGTCATGCTTGTCATCCGGTTATTACCCGTCCCCTTGTGTGTTATGAAGGTTTTTATGCATGTAAACGGTGTGCAGAGTCAAAACCCTCAAAGTACAGCCTGTAGCGAGTAAAACACAGAAAATACCTCCCCAAAACGCCTCGTTGGAGATACATCATTGTCCATTTGATTCTTCCATTTCGTTCCGGGTACGGCATGATGTCATGCCGTACCCGGAACGAAATGGACCAATCCGTGGAGCCGTTACGTTACGTCCGCGGAGCCGTTACGTTAAGCCCCCGCTGATTGGTCCAAATTGACCAATCCACGGACTTCCTCACACACACATCTGTGTGCAGGGAGCAGGCAGCTCAGCTGATTTCTCCTCCCTGGCTGCAGGCTGATAACAGACAGTTGGGATCGAGGCGAAATTCTCTCTGCAGACCCATTCTCACAGCGTTTATCAACCTTTTTCTTACTCAATATCAAGCCACACTTATTGTTTTTACTTCGGCTGTGACTTTGTGTGTGCTCAGGATGAGTTTGGCTGTGTTTGGCTGTGTATCCTAAACAAGGAAACAACACCTCCACGGAGCTCAGCGCGATTCACAACGTCCTGACCAATCAGAGCACACTGTGCTCACAGGGAGGGTGGGGGCTGGAGCTTTGGAAGCTACAACGAGCCGTTAAAGGCAGAGAGTGAAATTCAGTGAATACACGTAGTTTACAGAGATGCTGTATGAGAAACCAATGTGAGTTTGAAAAATTGCACAATATAAATCTATTTTAGTATACCTCAACAATGGAATTATGATCAGTGGAGATGGCCATGACATGGGCCCTTTAACACTCCTTTTCTATTGGCTATCGCTCCAACGCATCTTACGTGATAGGCTAAGGGGCAGGACAACCAGCTAACCAATCAGAGCAGACTGGGCTCATGTGATAACATGATCTTATGATGTTAACTGTTGAACTGTAAATCATTTTTGCCAAAAAGTGTTGATTTAGTGGTGTGTGTGTCCAGGCTACAGGAGCATCCCCCTGAAGAACAGCTACAGTGAAGAGCTGGAGCTGGCTTCTCTTCTGGTCCACATAGAGATCGTCAATGCAAAGGTAAACCAGTTGTTGGGGGAGATAAAACAAATAAATGTGTGGTGTTATAAAAAAACAAATGCATGGCACATTTGTAAGAGTTTTCGCACATTATAAAGTGAAGTTTTGCCTTTACACGGAGGTACTGTAGTGCAGTATGCTTCCTGTTGTCCAGTGGTCTCCAGACAGTGCAATACATGTAGCTTGTACCGTTACCAGTGCTTTTTTTACCTTTTCACTGCCATGCAATTACTGGTACACATCCACGCTTTTGGAGCAACTTCGGGTTAAACTTAGAAATGTGATTACTTTGCGTTTCTTTTTTTTGACAGGTTACGGTTTAAAGGTTGATTACTAGCGTTAATGTGTAAACGTTGACAGCCCTGCTATTTATGTATTAGCATCTATGCAATTAGGATTATAGGAGAGAAGTTATAAATGATAACTTCCACTTTCCTCTCCGTCTCCTTCCTCACTGTGGCTGCAGGAGGAGGACGATGAGAACCTGTACATGTCCATCCAGCGGCTGCGGGATCGAACCAGCGAGCTGTCCACCCAGGTGTCCCTCCTGGAGAGGTCGGGGTCCGGGGACCTGGGCTACCAGCAGAGCCTGGAGGAGCTCAGAGCGGCTCAGGACCAGCTGAGCGAGCTGGTGGAGGCCCGGAACCGCAGGTGACTGACCACCAAGATTCAGAAAGGAAGCATGTACTTAATAATTTGTTTCGACAGACATTTATTCATTATTCATTTTATTATATTACATTTTGTAGATGATAATTCAATTAATTACAGTGTTTTTCACATATTTGCTAGATTGAGGTCGCCTGCCACTAGTCTATATATAGTAGTTTATATAAAAGTCAAAAGAAGATATGGCTCTTTTGGACATTTTCATTTCCTTCTATATTTTAATGATTTTTTTGTGCATTCACTAAACACTTTTATGACATACTACTTGTATATCAGTCTGCTATGAATTTTTTTTATATTTTAGTGTTACCATAAATGTATGCCATTAAAATGTCTTCAACAGTCATAAAACAAATCATAGCAGCACAGTCAAATGTATGCTAGTAGATATTCAAATGATATGTTCATATATAGTATGTTTTTTTTTGTTGAAATCAAAAATCTGCTTGTCTTTATCAAACCTTACCTTTATCTGGCCTGTTCCAGGTTATTCTGAAATAATAATTGTTAGATCTGAAGATGATCTAAAAACGCAGGCATGGGATGATATTGTACAGCAGATATATAACAAAAATAATATTGATTTTCTGCTTTTCCAGGCTGATGGAGAAGAAGAGGAGGGAGAAGCTCAGGCAGCAGGTGACGGCAAAGCGCAGCTAGCCCCCCCGCCCACCAGAGGGCGCTACACTGCGACTCAAACTGTGGCGGAAACTTCCCTCCAGAGCTGTGAGAACAACAGGCTCTGCAGCAGCCACTTGCAATCCTTTTATAACTGGAATAAAGAACATGTTCTTTCACAGTAGAATGTGAGACTTTAAAGCGCTATGCTGGACAACAGCAGAGATAAAGACAGACAAACAGAAGCATCTCATGGAAAACCTAAAGAAACTAAGCTATTAAAACAATCATGGACCTGAGGCTGAAACACATTAAGAGCCAACTGGATATGGGTTTCTTCTGAAGCTTTCATAGAAACCATACAGACACGAAGTAAATCTGCACCAAATGTGTTTTAATTCTTCATTCAAGTTGTTTTCAAGCACAAATACTCAGCTTTTTATTTGTTATATGATCATGAATTATTAAGTATGAGTTTCGGTCAGAATAAAAAAGCTAACTGAAGATGCCACCTTGAGCTTTAGAAAAATATTAAGAGGCATTTTTAATAGATTTGATGGTCCAATTTGTCGATAATGTAACTTTTCGAAACTGAACTTTTTAAAGTATATGGTATAATGCGTGAGAAATGAACTGAAATGAACTCACACTTTTGGAAACTTAGTTTGAAGCTCATCAGATCCACTCTTACTGTGTTTTGGTCTGTAGTGAGAAAGACAGGACAGCAGGGAGAAGGAAACTCAGGTTACAGGTATGTGGAAGAAAAAGCAAAGGCACATTCCAGCTAGCAAACAAGTTATTATCATGTATGTGCCTTCGATGTTGCCAATGTAGAGTATAATTACTACTCTTAAAAACAGTAAATAAATACTTTCTCTACAACTGGAATATTGGCCCTTAAAGGGAAAACGACTCACAAACGAGGAGGAATCCATTCGCTTCACTCTGACCACTTCTCATGAAATGGGTTTAACCCTCCTGTTGTCTTCGGGTCAAATCTGACCGATTTACTACTTCATCAATCATAACTTTTTTGTTCTACATTCGATTGCATTAAGGCTTCATGATATCCTTCACAGTAGACATTTGAACATGTACAATCACCACTTTCATTGAATTTTGGATGATTTAGTCAACTTTGTAACACCCACGGTGTTCCCGGTCAAAGATTACCGCCATAAAGAAAAGGAATTAGTAACCATCCAGATCAGATAACACACACACACACACACACACACACACACACACACACACCCTGGCGACCGGACATCTCCTTCATAATGCGCCTTCTCCTCGTTTTCCCAGCATTCACTGGATTATCCGTAAATCATACAAACAAAACCAAAACGTTGATGTATCTGTTTTCCCGTTTTGGTTTAAAAACTGAATAACGTCGGTTTTTTGGTTTTCCGAAAAACCAAAAAACGACACCGGTTCTTTTTTAAACTTTGTTAATATGTTTTGGATGCATTTTTTTTTAATGTATCTGCCGGTCCTTGGCACAATAAAGGTTGGGAACCCCTGCTCTAGATGTCCCCCCCCCCTTATGTGCCCAATCCCCCCATGTGAATCACACCTGGCACTCACAAACACACACACACAGAACAATTTGACACATTTCCCGCTCTTATGTGCCCATCCCCCCACATGGATCACACCTGGCACACGCATTACTTGTTCAGTGTCTATTCTTTGTATATTTACTGCAGTTTTTCATGTATACCAATAGTCTGATACAATATTTACAGTTTGAAAGGGTGTTAAATGACATTTGGTGATGATGAATGTTTTTTTTGTTAATGTAATAGCAGTTAAAACAGGACCGGTCAAATTTGACCGTGAATACCAAAGTAAGGGGGGGGGAAACGAAGGCAATAGGAGGGTTAAAGGGCTTTAAGACTGAAGTCTGCTCCTCCTGATTGAGACAGTCTTTTTTTTTTGGGGAGATCATATGAAGCCATGTGGCGAGTGCTTCTGAGCACAAAGTGGACAAACAAATCCTCACCAAGCCTCACAGAAGTCCTTTCTCAAGTTGCAGTTTTGCACCTCGATCGAGAAGCTCTTCAAAGGGCTCTAAATAAATCTATACCTTAAAAGGGGCATGAGAATTCCGAAGGGGGAGACAATATTCCTCACAGCACCCCCTGGATGTCACCTGCACAGGGCTATCACATTAAAACTAGAATTGTTTCCCCTAGCCACCCATCAGAACCAGGATCCGTTCACATCATCGGGCTCTTATCAACAGATGTGTCATACCTGGTCCTGGATCTGCCAAAAAACTGCTTCAAAATGACCCCCTGCATGGCTTTGTACCAAAAAACACCCCTTCCTAGCTACTTCTCCTTCCCATCATCCTCTTTTCTTATTGTATATAACTGCTTTTATTTATCAAACCGATGTTTTAATGGATGACAAATCATTGAAGATATACTGTAACGTTGTGTAGAATACATCATATATTGTTCACACAAACCTCTCTTTTCCTGCAGTTGCACTGTGTTGGGACTTCTATGCAAAGGTCTTCTTCGATTTGACTCCTGTTGTGTTCCCTTCTGTATCTATGCTAACTGTCCAGTATTATTACTCTGCATTACAAACCCTGTCCAAGTTCCACTTTATAAAAGTTCCTTCATCTATACTGTATCTACGTTTGTGCTCCTCTTTTAAAGGTACAGTCCATCCTTATTTCATGAGACACAACACTGTACTCGGCGCTGCACCGTCCTTTAAGACATGAAGCGCAAAACTAACAGCAGCAAATGATCTTGACAAGTAAGTAGAAAAGTACAGTGAGGAGAGAATTGAAAGCCATAACTCTACCAGACAGATGAGCAGCAATCTCGCATATTTTATCTCTGAAAGGGTCTTAGAAATCAGAATACCTCCGCTCCAATTATTTTGACTGAAAAAAAAAACGTCCCAACTACGGAACAAAAAATATATAAGAGAAATGTAAAGATTCTCACAATGGCAAATCTCACATTCTGTTGTTTAGCCGTGGCAACGTTTACTGCAATCATCACCGAAGTTAGTTAGTTAGTAACTTAGCAGGTTGGCATACTAAAAGCAAATGAACACTTAACATGTAGCTGAAAATCCAAAAGTCAAGACTAGGGCTGCAACAATTGGTTAGTTATTTTTAAAGCAACAATACCCCAAATAAATCAGTTTCCACCATATTCAATAAGAGCACCTGCCTTCTTGAGTTATGGCCAAAAACATTGCAACTCTTTCAGGGATCACACAGTGTCCTTCAACTTTGAACACCAAATTCTAATCGGTTTGTTCTTTAGTTTAAGAGCTATTGTGACATCAACGGTCAATTTATAGTATACCATAAAAAGTCATAGTATGTCGTACATTTTTTAGTTGAATTATAAAAGCAGTGTTAAAGGGGCCCTATTATTCTCATTTTCAGGTTTATATTTGTGTTTTGTGCCTCTACTTTGACATGTCTCCATGCTTTAATGTTCAAAAAGGTATTTATTTTTCTCATACTGCCTCTTTTCACCCTCTGTCTGAAACCAGAGACCAGTCTGCTCTGATTGGTTAGCTGGCCGGCTCTGTTCTGTTTGGTGAGAGATGTGTTGGAAACGTCCCGTCCCTTAGCCTATCCGGCACAATGTGTGTGAGCGCTAGCCAATAGAAGTGCGCATGTTACATAATGATGTCACTATGTTACGGAAGTAAAGAAAGGAGTCCAATCAATGGAGGTGTTTCAGGCTGTGGAGGGGGGGAAGTATGTGTGAGAGAATATCCCTCTGGCATGAACTTTTGAAGACCATGCACATGCACAAAAACCGATATAACACACAACAGGAAAGGAAAAACCCAGAAAATCTCAAATAGGGCCCCTTTAATATAATAACATCCACTGCACTGTTAGAGGAGCCTGTGACCTAAGAATGTCATTGTCATAACTACACTGTAGCTATGTACATATGACAATAAAAGCCTTGAATCTTGAATCTGAATCAAAGGGCGCACAGTTAAATAAGTGAGCAGGCCCTGAGTGTTTTGATACTGGATGATGATTATCTAAGTTACAAGGAACAAACTGTGAAAAATAATTAAGAAACGTAGAATGCTTTTGAACCAATGGCCCCTGCCCAACTTCCTTCCTTGGGTTTTGAAAAATATTAATTTAGTCTATCATCTAGCTTCTTTTTTACAATACCACTTTAATTTACATAATTTGACATTTGAAATACATTATTGATGATTAAAGCTTTTCTTGGAAGCTAGAAAAGCTTTATTGGAGGAGCCTTTGCCACCTTCATTGTGTTTCTGGAAGATTTGTTTGTTCTGTAAAGGTACCACTTGTACAAAGTCCATGTTAGATATAAGGTTTATGTATTGGATTGTCACAGAATATTAGCATGATGGATTACTCATCAAACGGGTGAACTGACTGACAGAGAGAACCTGGTCAGCCATTCACCCCTCTCTCGTGCACGCACTAAGAGTTTTGCAGCGGGGTGACACATTTTGCTGCAACAAGAGCCATTATAAGCAGTTGTAAGTGAACAGTTTGGATCCTAAATAAAACAGTTTGAGCAAAAACAACGATGAGTTCCCTGCAACATGTAAACCCCACAGTGAAGGGGATCAGAGAGTCAGCACACAGTGGGCTTCAGAGTCTTGCTGCACACGTCACACAAGAGATCGCACAGGTAAGTACCGCTAATCTATATATCTATCTTTATCTTTATTTATTCAGCTCACACACTTAATCTGTGTACACTGGAGAAATATAGCTCTATATGTTAATGTTTAAGGGGAGACACCTCAGGTGAATACGGTAAAAACAATTAGATAACACAATGAAACGTTGGTAACTTATTTCCATCTTATTTAATGTTTGAATTCGCAAATCAGGTGTTATTTTATGTTAGCTTTGGTGTATTTATGATGACCAGTGCATTCAAAAAGAAGGATTTTGGCAAATGCAAGGATGTAAAGTAATGTCAAAAATGAATTCTCTATCCTTAAGTTAATGCAGGAGTTTTAATATATTTATAATTCAAGGATATTTGAATAGTTATGGTGGGTTATTTGGTTCTACAATCCAGACTAGACCTGATCCTTTTCCTGTGAATGTGTTCCCCTGTAGGGGGTGCAGAAACCCTTCAAAGAGGTGATTGACATCAGCTCAGGTGATCCCCACAAAGCCGGCATGAAACCCATCTCATTTGTCCGTCAGGTTGGTTTTGTCTTGTGAGATGTCTGTCCTTACACTTTTAAAACAGTTTTTCATGATTGGATGCTGTCAGACTTCGTAAAAATATCTTATTTAGTTCTTAATTTAACAAGTTTATTTTTTACGTTTTACATTTTCAAGTATCCATTTGCACCCGGGTAAGAAAAGTCAAATGGTACCTATTTGGTTATTTTAACTTCATGACGTTCAACCAACCAACCAGAGTCCAGGTTTCCCATCTACGTACTGAAGCAGCCCAACCCTGCTTAGCTTCCAAATGTTAGACGAGATTGGACACGTTCAGGATGCTATGGCCCTAATAATAGGGCAAATTACACCAATTGGTGTTTGAAATCCCACCATTTGTAATCCATCCCAGTCTCAGCAGTTCCCGGTTAAGTTCCTGTAAAGGTGAAAAGATAAAAGTATTGTACTATAACCAGTAGGAGAACATGCATGTGTGAAGTGATTTTGGCAGTACTTAACCGTATAACAGTAGGGCTAAACATATTTTTTATTAGAGAAAATCAACAAAATGATTGAATTAGACCTGTTTGTCCACGTTTACAATATGGCCTAGGTGGTATTTGTCTCTGATGTTCAGCTTACCTTACCAGGCAGTCACAGAAACAGTAAAAACAGATACACCCGGGTGTAAATACCTACAGTGATGAAGAAAAATGTGCCTTTATTGATCCACGATAGGGGAATTTCAAGTTGACGCAGCTCCATAAGGGAATTAATTTATCTTAAAGAAAGGAATGTTCCTAATGTGTGCCTTGGTGTAAATACCATTATTGTCTATAGACACATGGGTGCATGTTTTTGCCATGCTATATTCATCCGGGTGTAAATTGCCAAACTGACCATGGCACCATGGGTGCTGGTGCATATCTCATTGTTGTATTTGGGCACCTGGGTGCAAATGGCATCTGCCCTATTCTTCTTCATCCGTACATATCTTTATTTTAGTCACTGTAATGAAATATTGCGTGTTTTATATTATATATTTTTCTAAATTCTTCTGATCAAACACATTTAGTTGTTCCTTGATCACTCTCTGTATATTCTGTTGTGTTGGCTTTGTGTAACCATGTACTTGACTGGGATATTAGGGTATGTTCCTTTGACATGGTCATGTAAATATTCTCTCACTTATTGCTCTAAATACGGCCCTTTTCCTCAGGTTTTGGCCGTTTGCCTGCACCCTGAGCTGCTGGGAAACACAACTCTACCTTTGGATGTCAGGCTGAGGGCTCAGCGGCTCCTGGAGGTCTGTGATGGAGGAAGTGTTGGTAAGGACTAGAAAAAAACAATCTCTCTGACTATGAAATCGCAGCCAACTGCTATGTTAAGATATAGCTTGATTGATCCACCCACAGGTTCCTATACAGACTCCTCTGGCATGCCTCACGTCAGGCAAAGCATCGCTGAGTTCATCATGAGACGTGACGTCGGAGTGCATTCACACGCCAAAGATGTATTCATTTCTGCTGGTTCTCAAAGGGGCCTCTTGGTATGAATAAGCTGTCATTACAATATTATCATGTTTCATTGTCCAGATACTCTCTGAAACTATATCACGACTTCAGACCAGTGGCTTTGACCTCAATAGTTATGAAGTCACTCGAACGGATTTTTGTAGGGAACTTGCGAACTGAGGTGCAACACCTCTTGGACCCCTACCAGTTTGCGTATAGCGATGGTAGAGGTACAGATGATGCTCTGACCTCTACAACTCACTTTATTTTAAAACACCTGGAAAACCCTTCAGCTTATGCTAGATTAATGTTCGTGGACTTTAGCTCAGCTTTTAATACTATTCTTCCCCAAATTATGTTACAAAAGCTCAAACAGATGGATGTGAATCCTTACTTAATCAGATGGTATCACTCCTTCCTAACTGAAAGACAGCAGCAGGTGAAAGTAAACTCGACCCTCTCTGACACACAGGTCATAAGCACAGGGGCACCACAAGGCTGCGTTAGCTCTCCTCTTCTCTTCACAATCTACACAAATGAGTGTAGGAGTCAGCACACACACAACCACATTATAAAGCTTTCTGATGACACAGCCATACTCAGTCTACTGACTAGAGACTCAGTTAAATCTAAATCACAACTCCAGAGCTTGATAAAAAGGGCTAAAAAAAAAAAAAAATTGGCATGCTTCCACCATCCTCTCTTCAGGAGATATTTTGAGGAGATGGTGAGAAAGCAAGGCAGTAAAATCACATGCGACCCCAAACACATCCTGTATAGAGAGTTTGAGTTGCTGCCAGGGCAGAAGGTATAGATTACCAAACTGTAAAATGTCCTTTATTCCACTGTCAATCAAGCTGCTGAACAGTCAGAAACAATTGTGATTATGCTGTGTTAGGAGTTGTTGGGAGGTGCAATGTTTACAGTGTAGTTTGTGCAATCGAGAAGGTTAGGGAAAGTGCAATATGTGTAAATAGGTATGGATACAATAGGGATATGTGCAATTTGACGGACACTATGCATAGGTGCAATAGGGAAAGTGCAATATTTGATTTGTGTGTGAATGCAGTAGGGAAGGTGCAACATTTGATTTATGTATAAATACAATAGGGAAAAGTGCAATATTTGATTATGTATGAATGCAATAGGGAAAGTGCAATATTTGATTTATGTATGTGCAATAGGGAAAGTTCTGTACCTGTATGTTTCTTGTTTGTTTCTTTGCCATGTAATATGTGATCTCTGTTCTTTATCTATGACTGATTGTCCTAAATGTTTTATGTTTATTATCTCGATGCCCAAGACAAATTTCTCCTAAGGGGGACAATAAAGCTCTATCTATCTAATCGAAGATAAGAAAAAGTGTTGACCTGCGGGAGAGACTTTGAAAAACTTCTGTCCTCAGTTGAACTGTAAACGTTAACCATGGCATTTTGCCCTCCCTGAAAGAAGTGTTTTTCAACCATTTATTGCATAGGTTGCCTCAGGATGGTTGAAATTGTTTTTGATGACAGTATAAAGACAGTGATGAAAAAAGTTGGTCTGGAGCCAAAGGACCCGATTTGGAAGAGTTGAGCATCTGTCCATAATTCCTATAGCTTTTAGCCTGACTTAAACTTCCTGGCAATAACAAACACTAAATTCCTACATCTCATCTAATGTCATAACTGATCAAATAACCCGAAAAAAAAGGCAACAAGTTGTAAATAACTACAATTATTCTTCAATGCTTAGAATAGAATTGAAAATGATGGAACAGTGTAGCATATCTCTGATCAACATTCAATGAGTTATGCATACTAATCTGCTGTGTTTAGGTGATTTTGAAGCTGCTAGCCAGTGGGGAAGGGGACACTCAGACAGGCGTGTTGACTCCCAGGCCCTGCCCTCACACCCTGCCCACACTGCTGGATGATGCCGGGGTGGCCTTGGTGCCGTACCAGCTGATGGAGGACCGAGGCTGGGCTGTAGATCTGAGCGAGCTGCACCGTGCTCTGAAATGTGATCGGGGAGGCTGCAATCCCAGAGCCATCTACATCAGCAACCCAGGAACCCCCACAGGTAGGTAGTCAGTGGTGGAAAGTAACATTTACCAATGCACTGTCCTTGAGTGCAATTTTGAAGTATTTAAACTTTACTTTTTTTAAATAAAATATATACTTCTACCCCACTTCAGTGAAAAGGGAAATAACGTAATTTTCTCCATGACTTTTATTGTTTGGCTTTAGTTACTTTACAGATTAGGATTTTGCGTCAAAGACATGTGATAACCATTTTTAAATGTTTTGCATCTCTAAAGATTGAACAGTGACATTTTGGTTAAAGTTATTCAATATATTACCAAAAAATAAACAAATGTTGTTTGTCTAAAACAGGAAACTGCTACTTGATGCAAATAATAATGTCATATGTCTAATATTATATCACATTCGGAGGTAATATAAAAGAAAAAGGTTTTTATATTTACGTTTGATACTTTAAATACATTTTCTGAAAATACTTCTGTCCTTTTAGTGAAGTGAGGTTTACATGCAGTACTTTAACTTGTTATGGAGTTTTTTGACATTAATGTATTGGTATTTTTACTGAAGTAAGGGATCTGAATACTTTTTCCACCACTGCATACAGTAAATACATTTATGCCACCAGTTTAAATGTCCTTGCTGTCATCACTTTGTGCATGCTGCTGTTTGTCCTCCTAGGTCATGTGCAGGACTGGAAATCAATAGAGGAAGTGATTCGCTTTGCAGCAGCGGAGAGACTCTTACTGCTGGTCGATGAGGTGAACCGCATCTTGGGTTCAATAGAATACCTGGCAGTCTTCTGCTTCTTTCATTATTGTGATGAAACTCTTGGAACAAAGGACCCGAACACAAGCTGTACAAAGAGTTTGAAACTGATGTTCGACACTAAAAATGTATTAGAAGTTACAGTCAAATATCTATCGTCTCTGCCCAAACCAACTCTGAGATATTCTTCCCTAAACTGCGCTTTTCCCCCTCAGAAAGTCGGTTATCAGAGTTTCCATCAGCAAGACATAACCAGTTAAGGTTCTTGCAGAGAAGCAAGCTCCACAAAGCCATGTCATAAGAATTGCTCTCTGACACATAGCACACATTCAGTCTATTCATTAATGAAAAAGAGAATATTTACAACCTCGCTTTGTTTATATTCACAAGTAAGGAGGAGAGAGAGCCTGAGGAAATCAGTTTAAGTGAACAGTCTCTTCATCAGTGGCGACTGGTCATTAGGGGCAGGTGGGGCACAGCCCCACCTAGTGTCAGCAGAAAGTATTACAAATAATGATTACAAAAAATGCAAAAAATAAATTAAAAAATATATAAAATATATTTTAAGATCATGTTTAATCATCTGATTCGTCTGTACATTGCTCTTGTTCTTCTAATTAGTGTCTACAGTGTGTGCCTATTGAGCTTTATACAGTCTATGCTATTGAGCTGTTTAGAGCCATGTGGGACAAAACCTGATCATGCCCCCTCCCTCTCACTGTGAGTGAACGGTGACTGTAAAAACTACACTGCGCATGCTCAGAGTATTTTCCTATTTAATGTGTGTGACAAAAAAATAATGACCATAGGGGCACTGAGCTGCCATCCCCACCATACGTCATCTCACATAATTCAGAGCTGATTGGCTGTAAGTACGTGTGCCGCGAAAAGTGTGGTGTGTGAAGAGGAGACGAGAGAGCTGCAGTGACGCGTCCTAAAACCAGGAAGTAAGCTGCGCATGGCTTCCCTCGACAAAAAAGCAATGAGATTTCTCCATAGGATTTTAGAAAATAGCTCGAAATAAGATCTGTGGGAAACGTACCTGTTAGATAAATGCACGTTTTGTTCAGCCGGATAATATCCACATGTCTACCCTACTTTTATAATTTTTGAATCATAAATCTATCGATTAGATTTATGATAGACTTTTGAAACTACCAGAAGATAAGGAGGACTTTTACAAAAAAGTAATAGACATTTTTGTCCAGAAGGATAGGCAAATGGACTTCATCTTCAAGTCAAGGTAAGACCGCCATTTTATTGAAAATGGGATCTTACTAAGACAGAACAATTCAATATTTAAATGATAAAATGACATTTTTTGGGTATCCTTTTGTTGAACTGTCTGTTTAAAATTAATCGAAGCATCAGACAAAAAAAGCTTTTGAAAATAATATTATATTTTGGTTTAGGTCAAAATATAATATTTGTAAACCTGAAGAGTCAGTGCCAGTGCCTCACCAGCCATGAACCTCACTGCACGTCACTGCAGAAGCTTATATATAGACATCTAAGTTTTTTGTGCCCCACCACTTTTGTACATATAAAAACGCCACTGCTCTTCATACACAATGGTGTCCCAGCCCAAAGGCCAAATGCCTGCTGCCTGTGTAGACAGAGAAACATGAAATAAGGATAATTGTGGATAATCGATCTCTTCCTTTCCCTCTGTGCACTAGGTGTACCAGGACAGTGTGTATGGACAAGGGAAAGAGTTTATTTCCTTTAAAAGAGTCCTGTTTGAGATGGGCAAAGAGTACTCAGGGACAGTGCAGATGGTCTCCCTCCACTCTCTATCCAGCGCCTGCATGGGAGAGTGAGTTATTTCTCTTATACTTGCAATGTTGTGAGCTTGGATATGTTATTTGCATTTTATTTTGATATTGTGTTTGCTGAAAGTATCAAACAACAATTCACATGCAGTACATGCTAAGGATCCCAATGATCCCTACAGAAATCCATGGGGTAATCCTAGAAAGTATTCTGTTCTACATGGTCCCAGTGAAAAGTCCATCGTAGCAAAACTGACAAAACCTGCTGAGCAGAGAGTTTAACATTTAAAGCAAAGAGAGAGTATAAACCGCTAAATTCATCAGGACCACAAATGTCCAAACAGGAATCAAGTACGCTAATAACTTCTGCATCCATTTCCCAGGTGTGGTCTGAGGGCAGGATACATGGAGCTGGTCAACATGGACCCTGAAGTGACGCATTTTGTTGATACTATGCTGTGTACTGATATTAGCAGTCCAGTTACAGGACAGCTTGCTCTGGATCTCATGGTCAACCCACCAAGACCTGGAGACCCTTCCTATGACACATACACACAGGTGACACGGCTGCAGAGCCTCTTTGTGCTGACACAGTATTATCATTTTCCCATATGGCAGATGTATATGTATACTGTAGGTCCTTCTTATGTATTGTGATTCTAATTACTCTTCTTCTTTTTTTAAGGAGATTCTCCTCATTCAGGCCACTTTGTCCCAGAATGCTCAGCGGGCTCATGAGTTCCTAAATGATCTACCAGGGATGAGCAGTCAGCCAGCGAAGGGGGGAATCTACCTTTACCCCCGCCTGCATTTACCATCTGAGATTATAGAGAAGGCCAAGGTGGGAGAATATATTACCAGAACCTTCTTATTCATGTAACACAGTGTAGTGCAATGTCATGACATTTGATGGTTAGAGGATATCACTATGCATGATGAGGCAATTTGATTTTACTTTTCAATTGTTATTATCAGGACAAAGGGCAGTTCCCAAAGCAGAGGTAGTGAATACTACAATAGGTAGGTAGGAATAGAGAAAGAGGGACATAGACAAAAGGAGAGAAGATAAAAAAAAAAACAAGCATAGATTTCTGTTATTATAAATATGTAAACAATTGTATAAATGTGTATAATTTGTATTACTGTCAACTGTATTTTTTTAAGTGTGTAAAAGTCGCTTTTATGAAGCCTGTCATTTCCTCCATGTATTTTTCATTGTTTAAATTCAACTTGAAACATATTTGCACAGCTAACTCTATATTTACTTTTGTACAAAATCCGACTGTAAAGTTCCTTCCAGAGGGAGTTTCTCTCCCCCCCCCCCCCACCCCCCTGCCTGAAACGTCCTTCTTTGTTTACTTCTGTAGCATCACTATGTAACATATAGCACTCCAACACCTTGTGCGTGATAGGCTAGGGGACAGGACATCTCTTAAAAGTTGACCAAACACAACAGAGCCGGCCAGCTAACCAATCAGAGCAGACTGGGCTCTGGTTTCAGACAGAGGGTGAAAAGAGGTGCTGCAGTATGAGAAAAATAAAGACCTTTTTGAACATTGTGAAACTTTAAAAATGAGCAGAAGGCCCCAACATCTTCAGCAATGTTAAAGGATAGAGGAGCAATATTTAGGAAACAACAGCCTGTTGTACTCCTGGGGACAAAATGCTATTTTAAGATGAAACGGATACTTAAAATATGAAGTTAATTTGCATTCCACCACTATAAACTCATCAGGTATCATATTATATACCAGCTATTACCAGCTCGTCGAAAATGCAAAAGAAACGAGATAACTATAGAGTCATTCTGCTAGAAATAAAAACATTTACCCCTCTGCTTTCAGAAATTGGAGGTGGAGGCAGGTGTTCTGTACTGTCAGATGTTACTTAAAGAGGAAGGTGTGTTTTTAGGCGCAGGATGTCAGAATGGGGAGACAACTGGAAACCACTATCTGAGGTGAGAGACATGTCACATTAGTTAGGTATGTTGCATTTTCTCAAAAAATGACGATCGTGCTTTTATTTCTCTCTCTCAGGCTATGTATCCTTGTTCCTGCTGAAACCCTGGAGGAGGTCCTGGCTCGCCTCGCTTCCTTTCACCTTCGCCTCATGGACACGTGTCCTTACCCTGACAGAGGTGTGAAGGGCAGAGACATAAGGGCCACATTGTGACCCAACATGAAGCCATCTGTAAGAGAATACATGTCCTGAAAAAGGATCAAGCCATCTGCAGATCTGATCATTACTTGGTTTCTTTGCAACACCGTTTGTGTAACAATTTCCCCCAATGAACAAAGACTCTCTCTTTGACACATTTGTTCTTATGAAGATATAAAACATGCAAAATGCAAATAAAATATAAAAAAAGAAAAACATATTTCAGTTTTACTAACAGATTCTAATGCTTTACCAAAAATGTTATAACAAATAATGTCGTCATGCTATTTTTACCCATATAACTTTCCTGAAACAAGTCATAAAACTCTCAAAACCCTTTCTTCATATGTTTGGTTTGCCTTGTCTTTTTGTGTAATAATGCTTGTATAACCTCAATCCTGAAAGGCATTATCAAGTTATATAGATATTTCTGTTCAGGAAAAACTAAGCTGTATATTTTGGCTGTTGAATCTTAAAGAAATGTATTCATACCACACAGAGAACATTGATTTACAAGCCTTTGGACTTCAGTGAAAGTTCTCCCAAGTCTAAGGAATCAATGGGAAAACACGACAACATTCTAACCAACACACATAAAAAACTACAGACATATTTGACAAAAAAGTCCTGACGTTTTCATTTTGTTTTTCTACAACTGTGAGCTTTGATCAGATCAGATAGAGCAGATCCTGTCGCTGGCGAAACGGCCAAACAGGTGTCACAAGTGTATCCACCCTCTCAGAAAGGGAGCAGTCGAAACGCCCACATTTGACATTTCCGCTTAATGTATTTGTTTGAGGTAATGTGTTCCTGCAAACATCAAGATATTCACTGTCAGAGCTCGCAATACAAAACTAAATTATTTGAGCTGCATTTTCTCTAGAGTGTTACTTACTAGAATCCACATATACTCTATGACCAATTTCAGACATATTATTGGATAATAATTGTTATTAAATTAATTTGTTCATCATTTTATTGTTGCAGTTGGTAAAAGAAAAGCTTTTTATTTGTACTGTTAATACTATATTTTCTGTCAGCTAGTTTTTGTATTTCAGCAAAGGGATCAAAGAAGTTAATATTTACCTATAATAATCCACAATAAACTAGAATCGCATTTAGAGAGCATACACACTTTGTTTTGTTGTGGAAAATATATAATAAATAACCCAAATGTAATAAGTTATATAGTTCCACCAAAAGTAATTAACAATATTCTCCCGTTTGGGTAAAATCATCTGGGTAAAATAAACGTCCAAATTACCCCGTCGGACCAAGGTACGTTTTAACCGTTTGTTTTTTAGTTCTAATTAAAACTAATAGTAAAACAGAAACGGGTCGTTTTTTTGTTTTTCAATTTTGCCCCAAAACCAAAAAACGGAAATTCAGCTCGTTTTTCTGTTCTTACTGTTAAAACAAGTATACCACTCAATGTTTCGTTTCCATAGGTGGGTGGGTCTCCAGTGCCTCCTTGCTTCTGATTGGCTAGTTTGCCCTATGCTTGCGCTGTAGGCCTACTCTTCAAAATAAAGGTTCATACTCTTTGCCTAGAGTGCAGTGCGTGTTTGCACAACATTGAATATATGGCTACATGCAAAACATACAGAAGACAGTCTGTCCGTGTGTGGGTGCGTGTGTGGGTGCGTGTGTGGGTGCGCGTCTGTCGGTCTGTTGGTCTGTCTGTCTGTCTGTCTCGCGATCTGTCTATCTGGCTGTCTGTCTTGCACTGTCAGCCATGAATCCCTATCTTATAAAGTATGAGTACCTCTCTGTTTGATGTTACTGTGACACTGCTGAATTGATGCGGCCGTATTTCTCGTTTGCGTGGTCAAGTCAGCATCGAGGTTTTTTTCTTCAAATCTATATTAAAATAGCTTGGAGGTTGAGGATTGATAAATACTATTTAGAGTACTTTTACTGTGTACCCTGTCAAACTCCCCTCTTGAGTACAATAATGCATGTTTTCTGCTATCTTTGATGAGAGATACAATTATTTTCTGCAATAAATTCTTAATGAGTGATACTGTTTGACTCAGTATACTAATTTAACTACACCAACAAGTACTTTTTCAGGTATTCTTTTTCAAATTCCCCTCCTTAGTACAAGAATGCATCTTAAATAAAAAGGTGTCATTAGACTTATATTGTTGGACAGAGTATTTTAAGAGGATATGGTAGACATGATATCAGCACTTCCTCCAGTCAGTACTCCAGCAGCAGCTTTTACCCCTTGGGAAATCTTCAGAGAATATCCTGCTGGTCTATCCTTCAGCAAAGTGACACACCCTGTCACTCTTGTTGGCCTCTTATGATGATGCTGTCTTAACCTTTAACAGCCAGCGCCACCATTTGGTAGAGCACATTTTGTGTTTTGATATCTTGTTGAAAAATAAATAAAAAAGTGTAACTCCATCTGATTCAGCCAGCTCTATCGTTTGGTTGACATGTTATGCACAAAAAAACCTCTAGATGTCACTGTGGTTCGAACAGAAAGCCCTTCAGCTAGCTTCCACTGAGAAAGTTGGCATGCTAAAAATCACTCCTGAAGAAATCACTCTTTTTGGTCAACTTTTGTAAGGTAACCATATCATTTTTTACATATTTTAGTGTCAGAGCACTTACTGAACAGAATTATATAACAAGGGTGTAATTATTTTTTTGAAAATATGCTCAACCAACCGGTCGAATTGGCCTTCATATTGTAAACTAGCAATACGACTTTTTCAGAGTTTCAGAGATGTTTTCCAATAAAATATGGTAAATAAATGGCTAGATTCATGGTAATATTACTAAATCTAGTACTGCCTTATGAGTCTCAGAGTGAAAGAGCGATAGTAATTTATATAGCCCCTTTCATGCATGAAATGCAGCCCAAAGTTGCACACACATGAGCAAGTTAGGCCAACACAAGATATAGACATTTGCTGTTAGGCCAGTTGTTTATTGTTAGGCCAAACTTTTTATAATGAAAAACACTTTCCATTACTTTTTTCCATTTCTTTTTTGTTTTACAATTATAATTTATTATTTTTTATGAATATATCTGGTTGTATATATTGCTCATCTTCCATAAAAGAAAAAAATGTATTTGAGTTTGTGTTTTATTTGAGTTTGATGCATACAAAAATACTGTACTATATGATGATTGTTGAAAATGCACTTCTGCCAAGGCCAGCTCGACCAGTTGGTAGAGGCTCATAAAAACAAAACTGTGTGGTCAGTAAACAAAATAAAAATGGTTTGTGGTTATTTGTCCTATTTGACTGTCCCAGTCAACACATCAGCCTCCACCACACTTTCAGTGTCTGACTCCATAGAGATATTGTCCTGATGCTGTACAGGGGTGATGCCCCATGATCAAAAAATGACCCCTGTAGAGTCTGAGTGCCACTGACCTCTACATGTCACTTGTTAGTTGCTTTTACCTTAAAGCGACTTACATACACTCAATACTGTGGACAATCCTCACAGGAGCTATTTGGGATGAAGCCCAGGGACACAACGACATGTTGACTGCAGTGGGGATTGAACCAGTCCCCCCTGATCCGAAGATCAACGCACGATCAGCCACAGCCTCCCTAGCCATATTATGTCTGTCATTAATAACCCCTTATAACAATTTTCTTTCCTTTCTTCTCTTTTCTCTTCTCTTGACTGAATTAAAAAGTCCAGTCTTTAAGTAATATTTGAAGTCCTTTTCCTGCACCTTTTTAAGGTTATGTTTGCAATATGTATTCAAAGGTCACTTATTTAAATAAATCAATATCTGAGGTTAGCAAACAGATACTGCCTTTATCTAGAGAGCCAATGACACCCATGAAGAATTGCAAATATTTTCATCTGCTGTATTAATACAATTGCCATGTGTTTTCAAATTGAAAATAAGGCACTATCAGCCCAGAACATTATACAAAATATATATATATTTTAAAAGGGACCCGTAAGGCTTAATCAATGTTATATATAGATCTTTATATAATATCAATATTATAATAAACTTCAACCAAAGTCAATTTCAGGAGTGGTGTTTGACACAGTTTACGTTCAATTTCAACTATTCAACCTTTTTTAATAATTTACTTTAATTTAGACAGACAACAGGAGCATCTGCATGGGGTATTCAGGGTGGACAATTTGACATAGGATTTCTCTGAAAGTACAAAATAAAAGTATTTTATAGTCTTTGCGCTAGTAGTCTAACTACTGAGTCCAAAATGATCAGTCTTCGAACTTAAAAGTATTTGTATTGCTCGTCACATATACAGTGGCGTTTTTATATGTACAAAAGTGGTGGGGCACAAAAAACTTAGATGTCTATATATAAGCTTCTGCAGTGACCTGCAGTGAGGTTCATGGCTGGTGAGGCACTGGCACTGACTCTTCAGGTTTACAAATATTATATTTTGACCTAAACCAAAATATAATATTATTTTCAAAAGCTTTTTTTGTCTGATGCTTCGATTAATTTTAAACAGACAGTTCAACAAAAGGATACCCACAAAATGTAATTTTATCATTTAAATATTGAATTGTTCTGTATTAGTAAGATCCCATTTTCAATAAAATGGCGGTCTTACCTTGACTTGAAGATGAAGTTAATTTGCCTATCCTTCTGGACAAAAATGTCTATTACTTTTTTGTAAAAGTCCTCCTTATCTTCTTGTAGTTTCAAAAGTCTATCATAAATCTAATCGATAGATTTATGATTAAAAAATTATAAAAGTAGGGTAGACATGTGGATATTATCCGGCTGAACAAAACGTGCATTTATCTAACAGGTACGTTTCCCACAGATCTTATTTCGAGCTATTTTCTAAAATCCTATGGAGAAATCTCATTGCTTTTTTGTCGAGGCAAGCCATGCGCAGCTTACTTCCTGGTTTTAGGACGCGCCACTGCAGCTCTCTCGTCTCCTCTTCACACAGCACACTTTTCGCGGCATACGTACTTACAGCCAATCAGCTCTGAATTATGTGAGATGACGTATGGTGGGGATGGCAGCTCAGTGCCCCTATGGTCATTATTTTTTTGTCACACACATTAAATAGGAAAATACTCTGAGCATGCGCAGTGTAGTTTTTACAGTCACCGTTCACTCACAGTGAGAGGGAGGGGGCATGATCAGGTTTTGTCCCACATGGCTCTAAACAGCTCAATAGCATAGACTGTATAAAGCTCAATAGGCACACACTGTAGACACTAATTAGAAGAACAAGAGCAATGTACAGACGAATCAGATGATTAAACATGATCTTAAAATATATTTTATATATTTTTTTATTTTTTTTTTGCATTTTTTGTAATCATTATTTGTAATACTTTCTGCTGACACTAGGTGGGGCTGAGTATCAAGAAGTACACAGTAAAAGTATTTCATAGTATTTGGGATAGTTGTAACTACAACTGATTCCAACTTCATCAGTCTTATGAAAAACGTATGGCCAAAAATAATGTTATCGCTCATCAAAGATAGCAGAAGCTTGTCATTTTTGCACTGTGTGAAGGCAAAGAGTTAGAACCTTTATTTTGAAGAGTACAGCGCAAGCATAGGGCAAACTAGCCAATCAGAAGCAAGGAGGCACTGGAGACACACCCACCTATGGAAACGAAACATTGAGTGGTATACTTGTTTTAACAGTAAGAACAGAAAAACGAAAAAACGAGCTGAATTGCCGTTTTTCCGTTTTGGGGCAAAATTGAAAAACAAAAAAACGACCCGTTTCTGTTTTTTGTTGTTGTTTCAATTAGAACTAAAAAACAAACGGTTAAAACGTACCTTCGTCCTGTTGGCTACACTACAACAATAATTTAATAACAAAATGATTTTGTAATTTGAAGTAGGATACAGAAGCCTACCTCGACCTGAACTAAAAGGAAAGTGTAGCCTACATAGTTACTGTCCACCAATCAGGGTGCGTACGGGTGCTGGAAATCCTTGAAAATGCTTGAAATTGTACGAGGTGTTTTCAAGGTTTGAAAAGTGCTTGACTTTTGGGAATGGTGCTTGAATTTGGGATAAAGTGCTTGAAATTGTAAATGCTTTACTTCGCTTTTTAGATTAAAATAAAATAAAGAAGTCGGAGCGCGCTTAATTGCTTCGCTTTTACATAAAACAGCTCCGCTCCGGCCTTCCCGCGCAATGCTCGTGACCGGCAAGTGTTTTTGTTACGTGTGTGACCTGGGCATTCGGATGAGAGTGATAGATGACAGTATGCCAGGAGGTTGCCGTTTCAACGAGCGTTGGCTAGCAGAAGACAAATACAAGCCATGGCTAAGACGAGGGTCAAGCGAAGCCCAAGAGTAGCCTCCTGCAAAGTGTGCAACAATAACGATGCGAGAGTCTGCGCTGACGAGCCACACACCACACGAAAGGTACGCCATAGTAGAGCATTTTAGATTAGGCTATCGTTGCATGTAAAATACATGACACTTTTCTCTGTGCGCGGCAAAACAAGCTCGCCAAAATGGCTTCACTAGTCTGGCAGTATTTTAAGTGTCCGAAAGTGACAATAAAATAGCGGTATGCAACGTGTGTGTGAAGCAGAAATCCTGCAGCTCCACCCGCTGTGACGGACCGGTGAGCGAAGCAGAACACACATTAAGAGTTAGACCTAACACACTTAGCTATTTTATCTACCTCTGGAACAAGCTGATTCCGGCGATCGGCCCCAAAATTGGCGATCGGAGCATCCCTAATAATTGTATATGATATGTTTTATAATGATTGATCATTAAAGTGTTCTCAAAGCTGGTAAAGGTGCAGCTAGTTTGAATGACTTTGTATACTGCAGGGTAGCTTGTGAATTTACTCCAGGTGGAACTAAAGTCTGATTTAAGACTTGATTATATTTCACATCATTCATCCAGATGTGTAAAGTAACTAAAGGTATTCAATACATGTAGTGGAGTAAAAGTAAACCATTTACCTCTGACTTATGTTTACTGCCAACCTAAAAGTACCTCAAAAATAGTAATCAATAATATATTGAAAAGTTATTTGGCTGATTGTTTTATATTGGCTCAGCCAGGTTATATGGGATGCCCAGTCTACGTACAGATGGGTCTCATTTTGAAATATTAAACTTAGTTTTCTTTTCTAAAAATTGAAATGTAGAATGCTATTATGAAACACACATTTGGTTGTTTATAGCATAAAGAACATCAGATTTAATGTGAGGTAGGGAAATAATCATTTATAAGTATGTGTATATAAATATGTAATTTACAACAGCTGTAAGATGCTTGAAAAGCTTGAAAATGCACCTTGAAAATGCTTGAAAAGTGCTTGAATTTGACTTTGGAAAAGGTGTAAGAACCCTGACCAATGACTACCTTGCATTATTTCCATTATTTTCATTCATGGGTTTTGTCCATATACAGTCTATGGTTTTGTCACTATAACTTCTGCAGTCAAATATTAGTTTGCCTCCGCTAGAGGTAGTTTTTCTGATAGTCGGTGCCCTCCCACTCGCTTAACAGGTTTAATTACGTCTCAACGTTATCATTCTCAGTCATGGGCGTAGGAAGCATCCTGAATGTGGGGGGGACATTTTTAACGGGGGTGTGGGGGCGAAAAAAAATATAGATTTCCTGTATTCTGGTGCATTTTAACAGGTGGTTTGATACTTTTATGTGGCTATACTAGCATGAGGAAAATGATGGGTACATTTTGTAATTTCAGTAGTAAAGAAAGGAAACATATTTGATTATTAATTCAGAGCTGTCTTTGAATTAATAAAAAGCAGTTTAAATGCCCATTTTTTGTACATTTATATACAACAATAAATATTTGTGAGTGCATTGAGAGATATTGTTGTGGAGAGTCATTTATATATAAATCGCAAAATACATTTGTGAATCCTTCTGTGAGCATTTATTAATATTGAGACTGATCTGACTCCATACGGATGTTAAGTTCACCTAGGAATGGTATCATTGACTTAAATGTTCAAATAAATGTTGCTCTTCTGTCTATATTGGTCATATGATGCCCCTTGACTGAAATGTTTCCTGTTCAAGATCCCCACTGATTTCCTTAAAATCCTGGGATGAGAGTCCACATCACAATTTACTCTCAACTGTCATTTCCCTTTCATCACTCACCTCAGCAATGGACCTCTCTCCACTGTCCCTGTATTCTGCCTCTGACTCACTCTCAAGCCTAGATGTCAAGAGAGGTGGTGAAGTGATAATAAATACTGATAAATACTAGTAACCTGGCATTTCGATGCCTTTTCTCATCTAAACTATTCAGTATTTGTATTTCTCTCTATCATGACATAAAGACGAAACTCCTCTCCAGAAGTGAGACGCCGCCATCACTGTTAACTGATTAACTGCTACCAGCTGATGACTTACTTTCCTCTTCTTTGAAAAAAATGTTCTTATGTCCATGTTGTCTGGGGGAGAAAACATATCAAACCAAGAGATCGTCAGCTTTGATTTTCGCTGTATTAACCATTTCCTGAACATTTGGTGTGTGTGCCTTACCTCCGCTACCGGCATCGCTTCATACAACAGATCTGAGCTGTCCAACTATGACATCACTCCTTGAACATGCGCGCGCTATGTGAGAATCTGCCTTGGTACAAAGTAGCAGTGAAAACATGGAACGGAGTTTCATTGATTTGGGCATTCTCTCAATAAGCAAGTGGAATGGATTTCATTTGATAGTGAAGCACTGACACAGCGCTCGACAAAGTGCGGCGAGTGGATAGACCGATTCACGGACTTTCCGCATAGTAAAAGTGGGGGGGTCTAAACTAATCATTTGAAAAAGTGGGGGGGACTTGTCCCACCCTCATATAATGGCTGCGACGCCCATGTTCTCAGTGACAGGTGATCAGTCAGACAGAGATGAGTTCCCTGCAGGAAAGAGACCTCACTCTGCGGGGGACCAGAGCCCCCAGCCGGCTGCAGGCTGCACGCGACACCGAGGAGACAGCGCAGGTGAGTCCCGCGAGACGCTGTGACTCACTTCAGAGACATGAGCCGAAAGACAGCTCTAGAACAATTTAAGCGCACATTCGAAACGTTTTTTATTTGAACCTTTGAGAAATTACTGGGGAAATCATATGAAGACGTATTCAGATATTTTTTCTAAGTTAACGACAAGGTAAAAGGCTCCAATACTAGTGAAAATAAAACTCGTGTTTTAACAGCAACATCAATTTTTCGACGGATACATTACTCATAAAAATCGTGTCTTTGACAAATCAAATCCAATCAAATCAAGTTTTATTTATATAGCACATTTATAAACGATGTTTGGTCGAGCCAAAGTGCTGTACATATAGTAAAAATCCCCTACAGTAAAGACATTTTACAGCTAATACAACAGCACAGTTTGTTCAGAATATCAGTATGATAAACTTAGAAGAAGTGGCTTGATTTTGTTCTCAGGAGGGGACTTTGACAGAGTATTTCTCAAAAAATACACAGTAAAAGTACTTCAATGTATTGTTAGTAGTAGGCTTACTAATACAAAGTCAAACCGTATCAATTTCATTAAGAACTAATGGTAACATTTTATTTTTGGGTCATTCCAGAATTGGAGGACATTTCATGTCCCCCATATCAAAAATCTAATAATCCATGCCCAAAAAGCTAAGACATGCACTTGTTGTGTTAAATATACTTGTCTTGAGACAAGATGCATATAAAATTGTAGAAAAAGTGGTTTCAAAATATTATTTAAAATATCAAATAGCTCTCGAACACCCCCTAAAATTGCCCCTTTCTCTTGTCCCAGCTTCTTGGTGACCAACTTGCATGTCAAATATAACATTTAAAATAGGGTTTTTATTTACTTTTTTGGTATTATTCTATTGATATATGTGTCTTGTAATGGTAAAATCAATTTGTTAAATCATAAACACATTTTAAATAACAGTAATTTTGCACAGAAGGTGTGTCCCTCAACATGCGCGCAACCCTGTTACCGAAACCTTTTTAGCTTGGCAGAGGAAGTGAAAAAACTGTTTGTCGCATGACACAGTGGAAAGGACATCAGCAAGCCATGTGCTACTACCATGGGTAGACCAAAACTAAGTCCTCTCTTTTATTTGTAAATAATATATTTCCAATCTTGTCACTCTTGAAGGAGTGTGGCACTCATACAAACGCAACCCTGTTACTCAAATTATGAGACAAAAACTAATTAATTTCAAATGTATCTTTCTTTTGTTAAATATCTAAGTGTGTCCATTCCTTGACAATAGCATTACATTGTGCAGCTAGCATTAATTCCTGAGGTAAAAGCTAAAATTAGCATTGATTTTCAACCCTGTTACTTGCAACCCTGTTACTATAATTAGAGTAACAGGGTTAATTCTTCATTGGAAAATATACATTTGATGCCTTAGCTGGGCAAATCACTTTTTTTATGGTTTATTATCTGTTTTTCCTAAATACATAACAAAAAATAATAAAATGAAAGGTTCATTTTTCAAAAATGTTGGTGTCTAAATTGTCCTCCAATTCTGGAATGACCCTTTTATCATTCATCAAAGATAGCAAAAAACATGAGCAGTGACTTATCCGACCGGCCCACTTCAGTACCGGCCCATCGGGATTCGTCCCGAACGTCCCCTGGCTGTATATCAGAGTTCCCGTTAGCCGGTAATTACCGGACTATGACCGGTAAAATATGCTGAAGACCGGCAAATATAAATCTCTCCGGTCAAAATGTCCGGTCAAAATAATTTCCCCTTTAGCGCAATACCGCTTCAGTTGCGCCACTTATGTGACAGACAAGAAGAGTATGTGACAGACAAGAATAGTCAATTCTAGTGGAGAAAGAGATGTCCTGTATGGTTTGATTGTGCGTTGATCTGTTGGTAATGCCTCGGGGTTCCGGTGGGCATGTAAACAAATGCATAATGCTGCTGCGCTATACTTTGTGGCCTCACCCGGTTGCATAGCGACGCTTATTGTTTAGGTGTCTTTTAATAAGCAGGTAGTCATATCATTAGCTAGAACTAGCTAGATCTGATCGATATGCACATAAACGCGAGTGAAGTCTAATCTGACGGGAGAGAGAGATCAGCTGCTGCTGACGAGTCGACACGCAGCTCTGCATGATCACCTGCAGCGGTGAGCGGAACAAAACACACACTTCAGGTTAGAATATCACACGTAGCTATTTTAATTACCTCTCAAACTACCTAAACTAGTTATAGATATGTTTAGTTTTACTGTCAGGTCACTCATTACTGATCCGCGAGCTGCATGATACTGGCGGGCTGTCAGGAGAGGGAGAGAGCGCTCCGTTTATTATTCCCGTGTTATTGTAAATTACTGTACACTTTTGAATAATGTAGTTAATCTACTATAATTAGTTTGTTTAATATCGAATCATATCAATTTGTGTTAAAGCTCAATAAATAACCTTTGACCGGCACTTTTCTACTTTTGTCCGGAAGATTTCAACTTTAACGGACATTTTGACCGGCGAAAAAATATTCTAACGGGAACTCTGCTGTATATAGTTTAAATCTCCTTAGTTACAATGTTGTCCATTTTAGACAAAGGCTTATTATATTTACAGCCCCTAATAACATTTATTTTCTGGGCTCAATATGTGTCTTGGCTGTTTTCGTTGTGATCCTAAATTCACCTTGTTTATAATATTATCACTATAACACTGACCCAGATCGCTGGATCGCGAGAAACACCTGTCATCAGACTGGCAAGGGCTGTTCCATGCTCTGCTCAACCTCCCGTCTTCCCAATGGACTCAGTAGCGCCCCCTGCTGCCGTGTAGCATGTGTGAGTGAGCATGTGTGACTGTGGGTGTTTCTCAATCGCGAGTACGCTTGCTTGGTAGCACATGTCTGCCGAGCATCTTGCTTCAGAAGCGAGGCAAGAATACTTCCTGCCATTCGGAAAACAAAGAGTGGAACAGGCTAGCAAGTGTGCAGGTGTGCGTCATATGAGAGGCCCCGCCTTACATCTTCCACCACAGATTTGGGGAAATTGGTCCGTGCGCAAAGCATTGTGGGGATTTTAAGGCCGCGAAGTCTACTCATGTGCACACTCGATATTTCTCCAAACGGAGTACGCCGGGCTCGGTAGATTTCCAAGTATACTGGAGATTGGAACAGTACTTCGGCGGCACTCGATGACGTAGTATGCTTGAAATAGTGGCTCGGAAGCAGCTTTACTCGCGATTGAGAAACACCCCCTGTATGAGCCAGCCACGGCGGAATATTACTGCCAAAAGTCACGTGACTCACTCACGTGACTTTTGGCAGTAATATTCCGCCGTGAGAAGAAAAAGTTTTGTACTTGTAAAAAAAAGTGTTGTAGTTGTAAAACAAAGTGTTGTAGTTGTAAAACAAATTTGTGCACTTGTAAAAAAAAGTTGTGTCGGCCTACTTGTAAAACCTATGCTGAACTTGTCTCTGAAACATGATTTATTAGAAAAATGTTATGTGTTTATTTGATAGATACGTTTTTTCTTTGCAAAACTAAATTCATTAGTTTGTAGATGGTGTTTTGTATTTGCAAACCACATTGTGTTTGTTAGTGAATCATGAGGCATTTTTAAAACCTGTTTAGTTTGTTTGTGGAGTTATGGCAGGAAATTAGCTCCATAGAAAGGGACCGTCTACAAAGTGCAACGCCAGAAAGACATTCTGCAAAAATATGCAAAAATGAACCACCAAAACCACACATTACTAGTCTCCTATTTGTCATACTGCAATGTTTTGAAGATATTAATATCAATTTGGTGTATGGAGTATTGATCCGTAAAGTTCTTTATCTTTACCAACCTTTATGAAGCATGAAACCTGCGGTGCAGAGGATGTAATGGCGCATTTCCATTGCAGCGCGTAGCTCGCTTTAAGCGTGCCATGTCGTGCCGTCCCCTTTTTTGGTTGTGCTTCCACTAGGCCTCGTTCCGGCGCGGCACGGCGCGGGGCCACTTTTTCCCCTCTTTTCTGGCCCTAGAAAATTGTGGTTCTATCGGGGCCAACAAACAGGGCTGAGTCGGGCTGAGTATGCTAAACTAGAGAGAGGAGCGCTGGCAAGAGGGCTAGAACTACAACAAGATGGACATATTTGACCGTGATTTAATTGTAATACACGTTTCAAAATGATGCCGAAGTAACAACATACTGATACCGGTTAGTAAAAACCATGAATTAATGCTTTGTCAAGTCTGCAGACAGACGGCAGGCGAAAAACCTTTTAAAATTCGTGTTTTTCTAGATGGAGATTGGCTAAGCTAACGCAGTATATGCCCCGACCGTCCACACTCACAACAACGGCCTATACAGACATAAATACAGCAGCGACTGTATTCACCATGACACAGGCAGTCTGTGGTGTGTACTTGTTTAACTTTTGTCGAGTTTCTGAACATATATAAGGAGCTGTGAGCTCTGAGTGCTCACAGCTAACGGCTGTGTTGTGTTTCTGGATTTCTCATTGAAGATGACGTCACGGCTCCGCCTACACTGCGTTACTATAGTAACTACCCCAGTTCCTAAACTGTAATGGAAGCGCAGCATGAAGTGAGTCGGCCCTGTTAAGGCCCAACGTGGCCAAGCCGTACCGAGCCGTACCGAGTGTGGCCGAGGCCGACCGTGTAGTGGAAATGCGCCATTAGAGGTGCAGGGGCAATAATTCTTAAAAGGGCAAGCCGTTGATTTTAAAAAACTTGTAAAATATATTTATGCCTGGAATCACTACTTTTAGACTTTTTACAGTCAACATTTCTTAATTCCTTACCTTCCTATATATTTGCAAATCACATCATGTCTTTTTCTAGTTTCTTAGTATTAAGTTTAAAACAGTCTTCACCCCTCCAAAAAATACTGAACAAATGCTCAAACTAAATCTTAGAAGTAGGCTATATCTGTTTCCCTTTCTCCGAGTCCTTTGTTAAAAACGTGTGTTTCTTTTTTGTTCCCTCCTTCCTCTTCTCTTTCCTCCCTTACAGCTGATTCACACATTGCTAGCAGAGGTATCACCACTAAACAAAGCTAGTAAGCATAAGCGGCTAAATATTTAAACCATATCATCAGTGCCTCAGTCAGGACTGCAGAGTGCATGTGTATTGTGTTTGCGTGAAATGTTGTATTCATGCGTTCTTTCACCAAGGCTTCAGGGCTCGCCCCTGTGACCAAGAGGGAGGACGGGTAACCGAGCATGGGCACCATTCTCCTGACAGAATATTTTGATTCACTCAAGACTGTGCACAGCATATGGCTCCACACTATACTGTTAGGAAAGGAACTGTGATAATAAAATAATACATAAGTAGAGTTTATGATTATACTGGGCCAGTATCAAAAGATAGCAGACTCTTCAGGATGCAGACAAGGCCTTTTACAACTCTGTGTGACGATTGGCTAAGGCACTTCAGCGTGGTTCACCCTTTGTGACTGGGGTTAGGGCAAAAATGAAATGTATTGATTTGTAAAAAAATGTACATTAAAAAAAGGACACATACAAGGAAGGCAAAAGGGCAGGTGTTCATCCCCCTTGTGTTTTCTCTTTGCATGTTCCTGCTTCCAGTGTTATATTATTACATTGTATTATTACATTGTCCTATCTGATGCATTAACATGTCTACAGTATTTTTACTGTTATAAATAGATGCTGGTGGTTAAGTCATTTTTGTATGGGCCTATAGTTGGGTCATTTAGTTTGTAACAGTGCATCATATTTTTAAATGGTTCTCTAAAAGTAAGTAACAGCAGTTCAATATGAACTATTTAGCTTGCTTTAAGCAGCTACACCGGTAAATCCTGCTTTTGTGTGAGGCTATGACACAATGTTTTCTTCTTTAGGGACTTTTCTTTCAGTATTTTACAAAGACTTATTATTTCCCATCACTCTTCATCACATGCATACATTTGAGTTATTAATTAAAATACAAAATGTTTAAAAAGAAAAAAAACTGTATGCACTCAATGACTTCATTTACTTTATATTATTATAATACTAAAACACTTAGGCTTAAGCTAACATGTCCTGGGTACAAATTCCCTCCAGTGGATGACATGTAGAAGATTAAAGATACACTTGGTTACTCTATTGCAAGAGCATTACTATTATAGTGCAGGTGTAAGGTGAAATACACATTTTTTGTACAACCTCCCTGCAGTTATATCACACATTTGTTTTCTCAGGGAGCCGAAAAACCCTTCCAGCAGGTGATGGATGTCAGCACAGGAGATCCCCACAGGGCAGGGATGAAGCCTGTCTCGTTTGTTCGGCAGGTTTGTTTAAAATTTGATCTGTGTGTGTGTGTGTGTGTGTGTTGTGTGTGTGTGTTGTGTGTGTGTGTGTGTGTGTGTGTGTGTGTGTGTGTGTGTGTGTGTGTGTGTGTGTGTGTGTGTGTGTGTGTGTGTGTGTGTGTGTGTGTGTGTGTGTGTGTGTGTGTGTGTGTGTGTGTGTGTGTGTGTGTGTGTGTGTGTGTGTGTGTGTGTGTGTGTGTGTGTGTGTGTGTGTGTGTGTGTGTGTGTGTGTGTGTGTGTGTGTGTGTGTGTGTAGTACCTCTCTATCTGTGGCCAGTCTGACAGCTACTAACGGAGCCTGTCTCCACCTGTTTGTCTTCTCAGGTCTTGGCAGCGTGTGTCTACCCCAAGCTCCTGGATGAAAAAAGCCTTCCCCTGGATGCCAGGCAGAGGGCAAATACGCTTCTGGGGATCTGCAGTGGAAGGAGCGTGGGTAAGAAGGAATACTATTCATTCATTCGTCCAGGCAACAACATGTTTTTTAGAATTCCTTTAACTGGCAACTCTCCTCTAATGGCTGATCTAAAATGTTTCGATTGCAGGCTCATACTGTGCAACAGCCTATGGCATACCATATGTCTGTAAAAGTATTACTGAGTTTATCATGAGGCGAGACGGTGGAGTGAGTTCAAACCCAGAAGACATCGTCATCTCCTCTGGCTCTACGAAGACATTGTTGGTAGGATGATAAAGTATCTTTGGAGTATGATTAGTAGTGGGATATTTTGGAGATGAAACAGACATCTTCATTCTGCATTACAAATAAACATCCATTAGTTAGCTTTGAAAGTCAGCATCCTAACAATGGCAATGCTGACATGTTGATGTTTACTATGTTCATATTCTTAGTTATGTGTGTACGAATGCTAACATTGGCTAATAAGCACTAAACACAAATCCAGAAGGTTGATGGGAATATCGTTTGTTTTGCAGGAATTTAGTTATAAACTAAACCATTGGTGCAAGGACTATTCTGACCGGCTGTCGGCACTCTTTGTAAAGAGTGTCACCAAATGTATTACAATTCAATAGGACATTGTTGAGACTTTTCACCTACAAAACTAATCGTAGTGGAGTAGTCAAAGGAATTGAGTCTGTGGGTTACATGAATGTTTGAACTTTATTTCATGGCAATCCATAGGTGTTACGACCTCTCTAAACAAACAAGGTGACTTCAACTAGAGACACTGGAAACCAAAAATGTGTAAAGGACGCAGAAGACAGTTCATTAGGAGAAAACAAAGTGCTTTAGCTTTTAACCTAAGCAACTGTATACTCAAAATTGAAAGAAAACTAAAAAAGGGATAGGCCATCCGAGCTCAATCAATCAATCAATCAATCAATCAAATTGTATCGATGTAGCCCAATATCACAAATGATACATTTGTCTCAATTGGCTTTACATTTAAAGCATATGACAACCCCAGTTTTTATATTGGCCACCTTCCAGTTGAACAAAAGCTGGGGAAGCCTCCTAACCTACAATCCTCTAAACTTTGTGAGAAAAAGACTGAACCAAACCTCATAAATGAAATACCAGTGAACAGGGGCGGACTGGGACTAGAATTCAGCCCTGGAAACTGACCCAGTCCGGCCACATGAAATGTCAACGGGGGGGCATCAGAAAAAAAAATACAGTACTATTAGTTATTAGAAATCAGCTGTTTATTAGGCTGCATTCATGCAGTTCAAGGGATAATTGTCACCCACTTCTTGCTCTTGCCCTGCACTTGTATGTGCCAGTTGAGCTGGTTCTTCCACCAACTCAACTCTCTGTCCCTCATCATGAACGCAGGAGGCTGGCTGTATATCTGAACTCGCGCCCTCATCATTCTCTTCATCATCTTGCACTTGTTCTGCTGATGATAGTGCTTGTAGCAGCGCAGCTGCCAAAAGGTCTGTCAATTTGCGACATTTATATGCTTCACCTGCGAGTGACTTCACCTTTTTTTTCTCTTGCCTTCTCAGCCCCTCTTTTCGTTTTCTCTGATTTTTATCCATGTTTTTTCATTCTCCCTGTCTGCCACGGCGTCTACCCTGCTGAAAAAAACAGCGTCGACCAACTTAGCTGGTCAGGCTGGTCAACCAACCTGACCAACTGAGTTGACCAGACTGGCTGGTTTAGAGGGGTTTTGGACACTTTAGCTGGCCAGGATGGCTGGTTCAGCTGGTGCACCAGCTGAACCAGCTAAACCAGCTAAACCAGCTAAACCAGCCATCCTGGCCAGCTAAAAAAAACAGCATCCATCACCAGTTTATGTTTAATAAATAATAGTATTAAATATACCATGCTGGAAGCTTACCAGGATTCCAGGTGACCAGCATACATTGTTTAAATACTGGTATGATTATTTAAACTAGAGAACATAAATATATTACAAAGATTCATTGTGTCATGTATTCTGGTATCTACAAAAATAAAGACATTGTATAGTGTTCATAACAGTATTTTATAAATAGCAATAAATAGTAGTTAATATAATAAAATACACAGTAACAATACAAATAACAACCAACCTGCAAATCAACCTCAAAATAAATATATTATCTAAAACAGGTGGATTTGATTTAAAATAAAAGTAATAAATAGAATTCAATATTTAAATGGTAACGAAAACATTAACACTATGAGAAAAAGGCCGTCAGCGCAACTTAAATGATGATGTTAAACAATTTTTTTAAAGGGCCGGCCGGCCGTCAACGGCCCTTGAGGACCGGCCGTTCTGTGGTTCTCCAGATTCTACAGATGGCCAGTCCGCCCCTGCCAGTGAACAAAAAACACATTGTGCTCATGCACGGCCACACAGAACACTTTGAGATTCTAACACTCAGCTATTTAGAAATTGATGTCGTCTTGTCTTGTCTGAACACACCTGCTCGGGTACACATTGCCAAGTCTTTTCCAACAGCAATTACTGCATTAAGAATAAACACGTTAAAGAATCATGCCAAAAAGTTTTATACTGTGTAGTACTGTTGCATTATCTTTATTGTATTCTTAATGAATGTGTTCAGATGGTTCTGCACCTGATGGCCAGTGGGGAAGGGGAGACTCGCACAGGTGTGTTGACCCCGATGCCCTGCCCACACACCCTGCCCACACTGCTGAACATGGCTGGATTGACTTTGGTGCCTTACCAGCTGTTGGAGGACCGAGGCTGGGCTGTAGATCTGGACGAGCTGCACCGAGCTCTGAGAACCACTAGGGGACACTGTTCTCCCAGAGCAATTTACATCAGCAATCCAGGAAACCCCACAGGTAAATGCGAGCAGATAAATTGACTGATCTCCGAACTGCAATCATTGTTGCTGACTATTAAATGTACTTCTAGGTCATGTGCAAGACAGGAAATCAATAGAGGAAGTTATTCGTTTTGCTGCAAACCGAGGGTCTCGTCCTGTTGGCTGATGAGGTGATTACAAGCTTAACAGGGATACTGATTCATAAAAGTTGTTCCCAATTTCACACAAGCTCCCTTTTTTCTTGTCTTCCTAAAACCTTCTAGGTGTACCAGGACAGTGTGTATGGACAAGGGAAAGAGTCTCTTTCCTATAAGAGAGTCCTGTTTGAGATGGGCAAAGAGTACTCAAAGAAAGTGGAGCTGGTCTCCTTCCACTCATTATCCAGCGCCTGCATGGGAGAGTGAGTGTCTTTAAAGAGGACATGTTATTCTCATTTCCCGGTTTATTCTTGCATTTTTCAGATTTCTATATCTGCATGATAACCCAAACCCTAACCCTAATGTCCATCTTAGTCCATCTGTTCGTCTACACAAAATGATCTTTGCTTTGCTTAAGAGCAAATCCTTTATGCAATGAAACAGAGGGCCACACTTCCCTCCTTACACATCAAGTAATAATCATACCAAATCTATTTAGATTCAAGACATCCAGATAAGGTTCTCATCTTATTGTGACATCGAGGCACCCAGAGCCTCCTCACATGAGGCACGCGAAGTGTGAAATTCTCCATGCCTCTTAAAATATATATATATTTCTTCACGTGTGATAAAAATGTTTCCCAACACACTGTGTTTACGTAGGTGTGGTCTAAGGGGAGCGTATATGGAGGCAGTTAACCTGGACCCAGCCGTGATGAAATATTTAAGAGATGCGCAGGCCCCTTCCAGCCCTCCAGTTTTACCACAGCTCGCTCTGGAGGTCATGGTCAATCCACCCACCCCCGGAGATCCTTCCTATGAAACATATTCACAGGTATTGGAAAAACAAACCCATGTTTTCTCAATTATTCTTGTATAGTTATATAAATGCACCACATTAATAACTCTATTGTTAGCCAAGGAGGAACACTGCTCAGTCAGCAGGATATTTCCAAAAACTGTTTTAGTCTGGTCATTTCAGGTAGTTTAAAGTGTAACTTATCTAAAAACAGGGCGGATGAAGGCAAAAAACAATATGGTCACAATTGAGCTGAAAATACAAAACAATGAGCTGAAAGACGCACAAATACGCTTTGCTGTAGAGCTGTGAGAAACTGCAGAATGGGGCAGTTTTGGCCCAATACCAAACCAACCCCTACACCCTCCCTCTACTCACTTCCACTCCGTTTGATGGTTGCGTGGAGAGTCAGCTACACTGAGTGCTGTTCCAAACCAACAAGTAGGGAGTGGGGAGTGGCCAACCAAAAGTTAGTCAGCAATCATGTCTTACGACCAACCACCTGACCATGTGCAACGCTGTTTGTGTCCGTCATGTAACACGCTGTGTACAAATAGTTCTGTGCTAAAATGCATTAGTAAAATGCACAGATATAGAAATGTCACATTGTCATACAGATGTTAAAACCTCAAGGTTACATCATAATCTTATTTTATATTTTTGCTTAGGATCATACACCCGTTTCTTATCTTGAAAAAACGGCAGACGTGTGCATCTGATAGTATATTTATAGTGATTGTTGCAAAAACGAAGCAGCTCATAAATATCTGATCTAAAAATTAAACGAGGTTTACAAAAAAAAGGAATGCCACGATTGATTGAGTTTTCATGGTCAAGAAAAGTTTTTCCTTGAGAAAGGCGAGTTTTTCCCAAAGCTGTATTTACACCCTCCACCTTAAAGAAGGAAGCCTCATTCAGCTGTGGGTGTGACGAGTTCACTCACAGAGTGGGAGTGCGTTGGGGGCGGTTTGGAATTGGGCCTCTATGTTGCTCTTTCACTATGAATGATTCCTTTCACAATCATCTTCACTTAAAATCTTATCAATAATTGCAGGAGATTCTTCACTCTTTGACAACCTTGTCCCAGAATGCTCAGCGTGCTTGTGAGTTCCTGAATGATCTATCAGGGATCAAATGCCAACCAGCGAGGGGGGGAGTTTTTCTTTTTCCCCGTCTGCATTTACCACCTCAAATGGTAGAGGAGGCCAAGGTGAGGGATCATCGCCACTGGACCTCAAGCCCAAAACCGTTTTACAAAAGTTTATGGCTGTTTATTATTAATATAAGAATATACTATACTCTGAATATTTAATTTTAAAAGTCAAGAAAAAAAAGAAGCACTGATTATAAGAAATATTATTAAGTTGATTCATGTTGTGCATCATATCTCATATTATGCCTTGAAAAGCTTTCATTACAATGGGTCAAGGTGATTCATTCCAGATGTTAGGAGTGGAGGCAGATGTGCTTTACTGCCAGAGGTTACTGGAGGAGGAAGGTGTGCATTTGGGAGCCGGCTGTGAGAACGGACAAGTAGATCCAAACTTCCACATCAGGTAAAAAGAAAATGCCTGATACCTTCATGTATATAACATGTGTTATTTAAAGGGGCCCTGTTATGCTAGTTTAAGTTTTTAAGGTGTAGGGTGTATTTTGTGCCTCTACTGTGACATGTCTCCATTCTTTAATGCTGCAGCACCTCTTTTCACCCTCTGTCTGAAACCAGAGCCCAGTCTGCTTTGATTGGTTAGCTGGCCGTCTATATTTGATTGGTCTACCGCTTAGATATGTCCCGCCCCTTAACCTCTCACGTACAATGTGTTGGAGCACTAGCCAATAGAAGAGTGAGTGTAACACAGTGATGTCATTATTTCCCAGAATTAAACTAATTGGAGTCAAATTGATGCGTTTCAGGAATGGGGGAGTGTGCGAGAGAGAAACTCCCGCTGGAGAGACATTTGGGATTTTAGCCTTTGTAGACCATTTACATGAGAAGAAACCTATATTACACACTAGAGGAAAGGAAACCCCAAAAAGCATAAAAAGGGAATTTAAAAAAACAGAGTACACTGTTGTTGTTGTAGTTTTTTATAGAGAGAACATTGTACTAAGATACATTATTAAAGACTATTGGAAAGAGAGGGCATTATGAAACCCAGGGACTTTTTGTGACATTTATGACAAGTTTTGTGAACATATGGTCATTTTACAAAGAGTGCTTTATTCATTTAGAGAGCTACTAACTAACTTAGCCACAGAACAAATGTACATTTACATGTAATTTGGTTGGCATGTAAATCTATCACTATTTATTTATTAAAAATCCTCTTCTCCTAACATTTTTTATTTGTATTGAATAGCTCTCTTAGATGCTTTGTGGATAACTTATATATTAATTTCATCTTAATTGTAAGGAGAAATCATTATAAAACATTTACTTTTCCAATATTTCTTGCTTGGAATTTGACACTAGGAGAACTCTTTGAAGCCTGAAGCTTTGTGAATATGAACCTAAGGCATTTTGTAAAGTGGGAACATTCTGGAAAGTGTTGGACAGTTCAGATCATTCCCCTAACAGTGTGGCGTGGCAGGGTAATAGGGAGTCTTTGTTGGGCATATTTATCTCCCTTTTAAAAAAATTGAAATCCAAGTTTTTCTTCATTTTAAATGTATAATTCTGATCAAGTCACCAATGATTTGTCCTTTAGGCTCATTTATGTGTTCATACATGGTAATGCATTGTTTTCTTTCCCCTCAGGTTGTGTGTTTTGGCTCCTCCCGACACCCTGGACGAGATCTTGGCACGACTTCACTCTTTCCACCTGCGCCTGCTGGAGAGGTTTCCCTGAGTCAAGGACACAGACTCGGGGGGAAAATACAGAATCCTGGTCAACACTACATACCTTTTTATTACTGCTAATCGTTTGATTGACACTGTCAAATACAATTATAACTTTTTATAACTGTGCTGGAGTTTTCTTTCAAACGGTTTAACTGGATGGATAGCTAGCTCAGTGCTAGTGAGACCCTTACACTCAGTGTTTCCATTAAAAACACAACATTAAATCAAACAACAAAAGAAATACTACAAACATACGTATACTATAAACTATGTGTAACATACTACTCTAGGGTCCTGCTTTCAAAACTTTACTTTAGGAAAACCAAGTGTCATTAGATGTAGTACTGTACTTGAAGTTTGAAGATTATTGCAATGAAATACAAAATAAAATCAACATTTGGACTGTAAACCATTGTGGATTCTTCTTCTCTTTTAAAAATACTCTTTTAAATAATTGTAACGTGTAACTGCCAGATTCTTGTTTTCACTCTCACCCCCTTCTACACCCCCAAAGTCTAACACTTTGTTATATTTCTGTACATGTGTTGTTTTTTTCTGGCTCTGCAGGGGTTATGTAAGGAGGGGTGAAACAGATGCTGGAGGGAAAATAGATTCCCAGGTCATAAGCTGTGTGTGTGTGTGTGTGTGTGTGTGTGTGTGTGTGTGTGTGTGTGTGTGTGTGTGTGTGTGTGTGTGTGTGTGTGTGTGTGTGTGTGTGTGTGTGTGTGTGTGTGTGTGTGTGTGTGTGTGTGTGTGTGTGTGTGTGTGTGTGTGTGTGTGTGTGTGTGTGTGTGTGTGTGTGTGTGTGTGTGTGTGTGTGTGTGTGTGTGTGTGTGTGTGTGTGTGTAGTACCTCTCTATCTGTGGCCAGTCTGACAGCTACTAACGGAGCCTGTCTCCACCTGTTTGTCTTCTCAGGTCTTGGCAGCGTGTGTCTACCCCAAGCTCCTGGATGAAAAAAGCCTTCCCCTGGATGCCAGGCAGAGGGCAAATACGCTTCTGGGGATCTGCAGTGGAAGGAGCGTGGGTAAGAAGGAATACTATTCATTCATTCGTCCAGGCAACAACATGTTTTTTAGAATTCCTTTAACTGGCAACTCTCCTCTAATGGCTGATCTAAAATGTTTCGATTGCAGGCTCATACTGTGCAACAGCCTATGGCATACCATATGTCTGTAAAAGTATTACTGAGTTTATCATGAGGCGAGACGGTGGAGTGAGTTCAAACCCAGAAGACATCGTCATCTCCTCTGGCTCTACGAAGACATTGTTGGTAGGATGATAAAGTATCTTTGGAGTATGATTAGTAGTGGGATATTTTGGAGATGAAACAGACATCTTCATTCTGCATTACAAATAAACATCCATTAGTTAGCTTTGAAAGTCAGCATCCTAACAATGGCAATGCTGACATGTTGATGTTTACTATGTTCATATTCTTAGTTATGTGTGTACGAATGCTAACATTGGCTAATAAGCACTAAACACAAATCCAGAAGGTTGATGGGAATATCGTTTGTTTTGCAGGAATTTAGTTATAAACTAAACCATTGGTGCAAGGACTATTCTGACCGGCTGTCGGCACTCTTTGTAAAGAGTGTCACCAAATGTATTACAATTCAATAGGACATTGTTGAGACTTTTCACCTACAAAACTAATCGTAGTGGAGTAGTCAAAGGAATTGAGTCTGTGGGTTACATGAATGTTTGAACTTTATTTCATGGCAATCCATAGGTGTTACGACCTCTCTAAACAAACAAGGTGACTTCAACTAGAGACACTGGAAACCAAAAATGTGTAAAGGACGCAGAAGACAGTTCATTAGGAGAAAACAAAGTGCTTTAGCTTTTAACCTAAGCAACTGTATACTCAAAATTGAAAGAAAACTAAAAAAGGGATAGGCCATCCGAGCTCAATCAATCAATCAATCAATCAATCAAATTGTATCGATGTAGCCCAATATCACAAATGATACATTTGTCTCAATTGGCTTTACATTTAAAGCATATGACAACCCCAGTTTTTATATTGGCCACCTTCCAGTTGAACAAAAGCTGGGGAAGCCTCCTAACCTACAATCCTCTAAACTTTGTGAGAAAAAGACTGAACCAAACCTCATAAATGAAATACCAGTGAACAGGGGCGGACTGGGACTAGAATTCAGCCCTGGAAACTGACCCAGTCCGGCCACATGAAATGTCAACGGGGGGGCATCAGAAAAAAAAATACAGTACTATTAGTTATTAGAAATCAGCTGTTTATTAGGCTGCATTCATGCAGTTCAAGGGATAATTGTCACCCACTTCTTGCTCTTGCCCTGCACTTGTATGTGCCAGTTGAGCTGGTTCTTCCACCAACTCAACTCTCTGTCCCTCATCATGAACGCAGGAGGCTGGCTGTATATCTGAACTCGCGCCCTCATCATTCTCTTCATCATCTTGCACTTGTTCTGCTGATGATAGTGCTTGTAGCAGCGCAGCTGCCAAAAAGGTCTGTCAATTTGCGACATTTATATGCTTCACCTGCGAGTGACTTCACCTTTTTTTTCTCTTGCCTTCTCAGCCCCTCTTTTCGTTTTCTCTGATTTTTATCCATGTTTTTTCATTCTCCCTGTCTGCCACGGCGTCTACCCTGCTGAAAAAAACAGCGTCGACCAACTTAGCTGGTCAGGCTGGTCAACCAACCTGACCAACTGAGTTGACCAGACTGGCTGGTTTAGAGGGGTTTTGGACACTTTAGCTGGCCAGGATGGCTGGTTCAGCTGGTGCACCAGCTGAACCAGCTAAACCAGCTAAACCAGCTAAACCAGCCATCCTGGCCAGCTAAAAAAAACAGCATCCATCACCAGTTTATGTTTAATAAATAATAGTATTAAATATACCATGCTGGAAGCTTACCAGGATTCCAGGTGACCAGCATACATTGTTTAAATACTGGTATGATTATTTAAACTAGAGAACATAAATATATTACAAAGATTCATTGTGTCATGTATTCTGGTATCTACAAAAATAAAGACATTGTATAGTGTTCATAACAGTATTTTATAAATAGCAATAAATAGTAGTTAATATAATAAAATACACAGTAACAATACAAATAACAACCAACCTGCAAATCAACCTCAAAATAAATATATTATCTAAAACAGGTGGATTTGATTTAAAATAAAAGTAATAAATAGAATTCAATATTTAAATGGTAACGAAAACATTAACACTATGAGAAAAAGGCCGTCAGCGCAACTTAAATGATGATGTTAAACAATTTTTTTAAAGGGCCGGCCGGCCGTCAACGGCCCTTGAGGACCGGCCGTTCTGTGGTTCTCCAGATTCTACAGATGGCCAGTCCGCCCCTGCCAGTGAACAAAAAACACATTGTGCTCATGCACGGCCACACAGAACACTTTGAGATTCTAACACTCAGCTATTTAGAAATTGATGTCGTCTTGTCTTGTCTGAACACACCTGCTCGGGTACACATTGCCAAGTCTTTCCAACAGCAATTACTGCATTAAGAATAAACACGTTAAAGAATCATGCCAAAAAGTTTTATACTGTGTAGTACTGTTGCATTATCTTTATTGTATTCTTAATGAATGTGTTCAGATGGTTCTGCACCTGATGGCCAGTGGGGAAGGGGAGACTCGCACAGGTGTGTTGACCCCGATGCCCTGCCCACACACCCTGCCCACACTGCTGAACATGGCTGGATTGACTTTGGTGCCTTACCAGCTGTTGGAGGACCGAGGCTGGGCTGTAGATCTGGACGAGCTGCACCGAGCTCTGAGAACCACTAGGGGACACTGTTCTCCCAGAGCAATTTACATCAGCAATCCAGGAAACCCCACAGGTAAATGCGAGCAGATAAATTGACTGATCTCCGAACTGCAATCATTGTTGCTGACTATTAAATGTACTTCTAGGTCATGTGCAAGACAGGAAATCAATAGAGGAAGTTATTCGTTTTGCTGCAACCGAGGGTCTCGTCCTGTTGGCTGATGAGGTGATTACAAGCTTAACAGGGATACTGATTCATAAAAGTTGTTCCCAATTTCACACAAGCTCCCTTTTTTCTTGTCTTCCTAAAACCTTCTAGGTGTACCAGGACAGTGTGTATGGACAAGGGAAAGAGTCTCTTTCCTATAAGAGAGTCCTGTTTGAGATGGGCAAAGAGTACTCAAAGAAAGTGGAGCTGGTCTCCTTCCACTCATTATCCAGCGCCTGCATGGGAGAGTGAGTGTCTTTAAAGAGGACATGTTATTCTCATTTCCCGGTTTATTCTTGCATTTTTCAGATTTCTATATCTGCATGATAACCCAAACCCTAACCCTAATGTCCATCTTAGTCCATCTGTTCGTCTACACAAAATGATCTTTGCTTTGCTTAAGAGCAAATCCTTTATGCAATGAAACAGAGGGCCACACTTCCCTCCTTACACATCAAGTAATAATCATACCAAATCTATTTAGATTCAAGACATCCAGATAAGGTTCTCATCTTATTGTGACATCGAGGCACCCAGAGCCTCCTCACATGAGGCACGCGAAGTGTGAAATTCTCCATGCCTCTTAAAATATATATATATTTCTTCACGTGTGATAAAAATGTTTCCCAACACACTGTGTTTACGTAGGTGTGGTCTAAGGGGAGCGTATATGGAGGCAGTTAACCTGGACCCAGCCGTGATGAAATATTTAAGAGATGCGCAGGCCCCTTCCAGCCCTCCAGTTTTACCACAGCTCGCTCTGGAGGTCATGGTCAATCCACCCACCCCCGGAGATCCTTCCTATGAAACATATTCACAGGTATTGGAAAAACAAACCCATGTTTTCTCAATTATTCTTGTATAGTTATATAAATGCACCACATTAATAACTCTATTGTTAGCCAAGGAGGAACACTGCTCAGTCAGCAGGATATTTCCAAAAACTGTTTTAGTCTGGTCATTTCAGGTAGTTTAAAGTGTAACTTATCTAAAAACAGGGCGGATGAAGGCAAAAACAATATGGTCACAATTGAGCTGAAAATACAAAACAATGAGCTGAAAGACGCACAAATACGCTTTGCTGTAGAGCTGTGAGAAACTGCAGAATGGGGCAGTTTTGGCCCAATACCAAACCAACCCCTACACCCTCCCTCTACTCACTTCCACTCCGTTTGATGGTTGCGTGGAGAGTCAGCTACACTGAGTGCTGTTCCAAACCAACAAGTAGGGAGTGGGAGTGGCCAACCAAAAGTTAGTCAGCAATCATGTCTTACGACCAACCACCTGACCATGTGCAACGCTGTTTGTGTCCGTCATGTAACACGCTGTGTACAAATAGTTCTGTGCTAAAATGCATTAGTAAAATGCACAGATATAGAAATGTCACATTGTCATACAGATGTTAAAACCTCAAGGTTACATCATAATCTTATTTTATATTTTTGCTTAGGATCATACACCCGTTTCTTATCTTGAAAAAACGGCAGACGTGTGCATCTGATAGTATATTTATAGTGATTGTTGCAAAAACGAAGCAGCTCATAAATATCTGATCTAAAAATTAAACGAGGTTTACAAAAAAAAGGAATGCCACGATTGATTGAGTTTTCATGGTCAAGAAAAGTTTTTCCTTGAGAAAGGCGAGTTTTTCCCAAAGCTGTATTTACACCCTCCACCTTAAAGAAGGAAGCCTCATTCAGCTGTGGGTGTGACGAGTTCACTCACAGAGTGGGAGTGCGTTGGGGGCGGTTTGGAATTGGGCCTCTATGTTGCTCTTTCACTATGAATGATTCCTTTCACAATCATCTTCACTTAAAATCTTATCAATAATTGCAGGAGATTCTTCACTCTTTGACAACCTTGTCCCAGAATGCTCAGCGTGCTTGTGAGTTCCTGAATGATCTATCAGGGATCAAATGCCAACCAGCGAGGGGGGGAGTTTTTCTTTTTCCCCGTCTGCATTTACCACCTCAAATGGTAGAGGAGGCCAAGGTGAGGGATCATCGCCACTGGACCTCAAGCCCAAAACCGTTTTACAAAAGTTTATGGCTGTTTATTATTAATATAAGAATATACTATACTCTGAATATTTAATTTTAAAAGTCAAGAAAAAAAAGAAGCACTGATTATAAGAAATATTATTAAGTTGATTCATGTTGTGCATCATATCTCATATTATGCCTTGAAAAGCTTTCATTACAATGGGTCAAGGTGATTCATTCCAGATGTTAGGAGTGGAGGCAGATGTGCTTTACTGCCAGAGGTTACTGGAGGAGGAAGGTGTGCATTTGGGAGCCGGCTGTGAGAACGGACAAGTAGATCCAAACTTCCACATCAGGTAAAAAGAAAATGCCTGATACCTTCATGTATATAACATGTGTTATTTAAAGGGGCCCTGTTATGCTAGTTTAAGTTTTTAAGGTGTAGGGTGTATTTTGTGCCTCTACTGTGACATGTCTCCATTCTTTAATGCTGCAGCACCTCTTTTCACCCTCTGTCTGAAACCAGAGCCCAGTCTGCTTTGATTGGTTAGCTGGCCGTCTATATTTGATTGGTCTACCGCTTAGATATGTCCCGCCCCTTAACCTCTCACGTACAATGTGTTGGAGCACTAGCCAATAGAAGAGTGAGTGTAACACAGTGATGTCATTATTTCCCAGAATTAAACTAATTGGAGTCAAATTGATGCGTTTCAGGAATGGGGGAGTGTGCGAGAGAGAAACTCCCGCTGGAGAGACATTTGGGATTTTAGCCTTTGTAGACCATTTACATGAGAAGAAACCTATATTACACACTAGAGGAAAGGAAACCCCAAAAAGCATAAAAAGGGAATTTAAAAAAACAGAGTACACTGTTGTTGTTGTAGTTTTTATAGAGAGAACATTGTACTAAGATACATTATTAAAGACTATTGGAAAGAGAGGGCATTATGAAACCCAGGGACTTTTTGTGACATTTATGACAAGTTTTGTGAACATATGGTCATTTTACAAAGAGTGCTTTATTCATTTAGAGAGCTACTAACTAACTTAGCCACAGAACAAATGTACATTTACATGTAATTTGGTTGGCATGTAAATCTATCACTATTTATTTATTAAAAATCCTCTTCTCCTAACATTTTTTATTTGTATTGAATAGCTCTCTTAGATGCTTTGTGGATAACTTATATATTAATTTCATCTTAATTGTAAGGAGAAATCATTATAAAACATTTACTTTTCCAATATTTCTTGCTTGGAATTTGACACTAGGAGAACTCTTTGAAGCCTGAAGCTTTGTGAATATGAACCTAAGGCATTTTGTAAAGTGGGAACATTCTGGAAAGTGTTGGACAGTTCAGATCATTCCCCTAACAGTGTGGCGTGGCAGGGTAATAGGGAGTCTTTGTTGGGCATATTTATCTCCCTTTTAAAAAAATTGAAATCCAAGTTTTTCTTCATTTTAAATGTATAATTCTGATCAAGTCACCAATGATTTGTCCTTTAGGCTCATTTATGTGTTCATACATGGTAATGCATTGTTTTCTTTCCCCTCAGGTTGTGTGTTTTGGCTCCTCCCGACACCCTGGACGAGATCTTGGCACGACTTCACTCTTTCCACCTGCGCCTGCTGGAGAGGTTTCCCTGAGTCAAGGACACAGACTCGGGGGGAAAATACAGAATCCTGGTCAACACTACATACCTTTTTATTACTGCTAATCGTTTGATTGACACTGTCAAATACAATTATAACTTTTTATAACTGTGCTGGAGTTTTCTTTCAAACGGTTTTAACTGGATGGATAGCTAGCTCAGTGCTAGTGAGACCCTTACACTCAGTGTTTCCATTAAAAACACAACATTAAATCAAACAACAAAAGAAATACTACAAACATACGTATACTATAAACTATGTGTAACATACTACTCTAGGGTCCTGCTTTCAAAACTTTACTTTAGGAAAACCAAGTGTCATTAGATGTAGTACTGTACTTGAAGTTTGAAGATTATTGCAATGAAATACAAAATAAAATCAACATTTGGACTGTAAACCATTGTGGATTCTTCTTCTCTTTTAAAAATACTCTTTTAAATAATTGTAACGTGTAACTGCCAGATTCTTGTTTTCACTCTCACCCCCCTTCTACACCCCCAAAGTCTAACACTTTGTTATATTTCTGTACATGTGTTGTTTTTTTCTGGCTCTGCAGGGGTTATGTAAGGAGGGGTGAAACAGATGCTGGAGGGAAAATAGATTCCCAGGTCATAAGCTGACTGTGTGTGTGTGAGTGTGTGTGTGTGTGTGTGTGTGTGTGTGTGTGTGTGTGTGTGTGTGTGTGTGGGTGCGTGCGTGTGTGTGTGTGTGTGTGTCTGATCGCTGTCAATCTTCTGAGTATAAAAGCCATACACCACACTCAGACAGACCATCATCCAATCATGGTGAAAGTGGCCCTTGTCCTGCTGTTTGCTGCCTATGGTGAGTTCCATCCAATTGGTTTAAGGGGGTTTATATTTTTTAGGAGCAAACTCAAGACCCACCTTTTTAATTTGGCTTTTAATTGAAATGTTTTTATTATATTATTTTGTCATTCTTATTTGATTTAATCTTGGTTTATACATTTTATTATTATGATTGATTGATCTGTTCAATGCTAAGAAAAATAAATAATCAGAACTTTATTTTTCTTTTAGTATCAACGCAAATATTCAAATCAACAACGTGTGAAGTCGACGATGTCTTTACTTTTAAAGTCTTGTTTGCTTCATTGGGAATTGTATATGTCCTCAAAAATGAAAGTGATTTAAAAGTGTAATTAAAAAGCAAGTACAGCTCCGGCCTTAGTTCGTGCCTCAAGTCTCAAATCTGTGGCACTTAGCCCATTTATTCCTATTAAAGACAAAAATGCATCCAACAAATAATATATATATACAGAATAGCTGGTAACTGTAGTCTAAATGGTGGACATAGTGCACTTGTTTGGCACTATTTTAGTTGCGGATGAATCCCAGTTTGGTGCTCTAGTGAGTTTTGGACAGGATGGTGTGTGTTGGATTTTGCCAGCCATGTAAGACCTCTCATTTCTATGACTTTTATCCATCAGCATGTTTGCTCTCTTACCAAAATACATATCCACAGACAGTCGGGAGACATCTGTCAGACAGACAACTACTATACCTTAGAATATGTGACTTTCTGCAGCAAACAAAGTTAGGAAAAGCAACCTAATCACAGACAAATGTTGCAAGGTCAAACTTGTGTGACAGCAACAGCTTTTAGTGTTAGAAATGAGCTGTATCACCTTTCTAACCTCTGGTTCTCTCCGTGGTCCAGCTCACGGGTGCGGCACCCCCGACTATCCTCCCTCTGTGAGCCGCGTTGTGAACGGAGAGGATGCTCGACCCTACAGCTGGCCCTGGCAGGTGAGACAATAATGATCAGTGTATTTGACGTATGGCATGTATAAGACATGAGGGGATAAAGATCTGCCAACTCACAGATTGTTTTCTGTCACATCTCTTAAATGTGTCTGTTTTATTGTTGACAGTGCAGCAGATAAATGAGCAGGTCTGCTAACATTTCTGTGTGGAAATACATTATGCTTTAGTCAAAATAAAATAACAGAAATAAAAAAACAGAGTTACTAATAAAAAAGAATAACCTTGAAAACTAAAAGAGTTTATTAGCAAAACCGCTAATTTTATCGTTTAAAACTTGAGTCTATTCTATAGTCTCAGCATATATTTCATATTAAATGTTCATTTGAAAACCTTGCTCTTAAATACATCTATTTAAATATTTCTGTCTTAGCTGTATACACTAGCATGCATTTGAAATACTTAAATGTATCTGAGAATTGTACAACACTTAGGTAAATCAATTTAGTTAAGGATTCAGATTATTAGCTAATACAAAATATAAATCAACTAATAAATAAACATATCTTTAAAGCTAATATAATCCAGCAGCAGTATATTGAGTCATTAGCTCCACTTTTAATAGCTGTTACAGTATGATCACATTCATTAATCAATAATCATAATCCAGTTATTTAATAAATATGATTCCTAAATGTGTCATCACGCTTAATGAGATCTCTTAAAATTGGTATTTACAGTAATTGATATTTTATGCCAAACCTATACTTTAGTTTTACCTTTGTAAGACTTGGAATGCAGGAGTTTCCCTTGTAACAGAGTATTTTCAAAGTTTACTATGGCTACTTTCACTAATAAATCAGAGTACTTCTTCCACCCCTGCTTCTCAGATCTCTCTGCAGTATCTCAGTGGCTCCACGTACCGTCACACCTGTGGGGGCACCCTGCTCTCCCACAACTGGGTGATGACTGCTGGTCACTGCATCGGGTGAGTTCACTCTCTTTCTCTGTTGTGTGATGTGAAATGAAGGTTTAGGCTAAAGTGTGTGTGTCTCTTTACACTGTACTTATATGTGTTTCATATCTCGTACCTACCGCGTGGTGATGGGCGAGTATGACCTCACCAAGAGGAGAGCAACGAGCAGATCAGGAGTGTGGAGAAGATCGTTGTTCACCCTGACTGGAATGACAACTGCCTGTCCTGTGGGTAAGTGTGTATAACTCCTACACACTGCTTTTTCCATTTTGCGTTTTAAATTTAAAACTGCATTGATTGTTTTTTTGGTTGGCCACTTGGAGACAGATAGACTACTGTGGAGTGACTTGTAAATGTTCAAGTAAATAGTTTATTTTATTTATTCATTCATTGAACAGGGACAGTGAACATTAATCAACATTTATGTAAAGTTGCCAGAGTTAGCCAAGAGGCTATTTTTCATCTGTAGTCCCTGGACAGATTTTGTGAGTCACCCTAAAGACATATTTCATTTGAAACAAATACATACAATCAACAAAAAAACAAAAATGCAACATACAGTACTATAAGTAAAATAGTAACTTCAGCTTTGCGGTCCTTGGTTAAAAGAGTGGGCCAGGAACGAGTCCTGATGAATAAGCATTTGACCACTTCCTGTTCCTTCATCTTGATTGATTGATTCATCATTTTTGTTATTTCTCTCCTTAAGATATGTCTCTATTTTCAACATGATTTTCTTGTTGTTTAGCAATGATATCGCCATGATCAAACTGGCCTCCCCTGTGGTTCTGAACGAAAAGGTGCAGCCTTCCTGTGTGCCAGAGAGCGGAGAGGTCGCTCCTCACGACGACCCCTGCTACATCACCGGCTGGGGGAGGATCTACAGTCAGTTTTTATAACGCCACAACACATTTTAGAAAAGAGATGTAAAATGGCAGGATTGGATCGAGATTAAAGAGGATTGAACAAAAATGAAATTCAAACCACTATCATTTATGAGTAAAAAAATGCAGCAGGAATAAAATGCAACATAAAGCAAAAGGAAGGAATTCTTCAAAAAGGGCAGTTAGAAAATAGTTGTCTCTATTCAAGCAGTTGTGACCTGGCGATGCTCTTGGTTTTTAACTTTGTATTCTCCTCCTGCAGGTGGGGGTCCCCTGGCCTCTAAGCTCCAGCAGGCTCTGCTCCCTGTGGTCGGCCACAGCGTGTGCAGCAGCAGCGGCTGGTGGGGGGGGCACCGTGAAGACCACCATGATCTGCGGTGGCGGTGACATCCGCTCTGGCTGCCATGTATGCACCGCCCCCTTCATCACAACATGTTAGGTTCACACTGTTGCCTTCACCTGTCTCTGTGTGTTTCTGCAGGGAGACTCAGGCGGCCCTCTGAACTGCAGGGGCAGGGACGGCCGGTTCTACGTGCAGGGAGTGACCAGCTTCGTCTCCTCTCGAGGATGCAACACCCTCATGAAGCCCACGGTGTTCACTCGCACCTTTTCCTTCACCAAGTGGATCAGTGACGTAAGTATTCTTCACACAAATTTGACAAATGAATGAGAAAGCAACATAAAGAGTGTGGGGGAAAACGTCTGTGTAGCAATGCAGTGGGAGTCACCGACTCAGGAAGGAGACACGGGGAGAACTGGAGCTTCGATGTCAAACACTGATGGTTTATTTAGGAGCTTCGGCCGTAGGATTCACAAAACAAGTCCAAGAGCCAGAGGTTCTGACTTCACGATAGAGTTGCCACGTCAATTCTGAAGAACTCTACCCCAGACCCATGTATTTAGCTAGTTCAGAGAGAATAATCAACATTGTGCCTAACAATATAGAATGATAACACCTCTATCAGCTGACGCCAACAGGCAGGAACAGGGAGACAAAACACTGAGAGCACAGCAGCCAAGGTTACAGGTGCGTGTGCTCAGTCAGGACAGTATGAACTGATAAACTTGGTCAAAGTTATGGGCCTTGGAAAATATTTCCCCAACAAAGTGTCACAAACGAGCTGAGGACCAAAATGCAGAACACGGGGAAACCAGGGATAGTCAGTAACCAGCTTTATTGAAGGCAATAACTGGTAGGAGACGAAAAGGCAGGTAGTAGGCAAAGGGCTGGTCGGGGACAGGCGAGGGTTCAAGGAGAAGGCAAGAAGGGAGTCGCAGGTACAGGCAGGGTCAGGAATCAGGCGAGGCAGGCAGGTCAAGGACAGGCAGGGTCGGAACCGGGAGAGCAATCTGGGAAGTAATGCTGGAAAGACTGGCATGCTGCAAAGTACGATCTGGCACTGAGGTGAGAGTGAAGTGGGCCTATATACTACTGGAGCTGATGGGTGTAACAGAGTGAGAGAGAGCGACAGGGTGTGGCTACCAGGTGACTAAGGAATGTTAATGCAGAAACTAGGTGAGTGAGAAAGCAGACTGTGACACAAAGAGT